TTAAATAATACTTAATATTTATTAATATATAATTTTTTCTTATTAAATATTATTTAAAAGGTAAATATCTTCGTGTAAAGAGAGAGTAAAAATCTCACCCCGCTATAAGATCTACTAAAACCCTCTATAATAGATTTTTTTACGAAAGGTTAACTTTAAACCTTAATATTATAAAAGTAAAAGAAAATATAATAAATTTTTTTCTAAAATATAAAAATATATATAATAAATTATATATTAGTGAATTCTTAAGTATTTATTTTAATAAATATCATGTTTTTTAAGAGAGTGTTTAGGGTGAGTTTTGGTGTAAAAGTGGGGTTTTTGACAGACTTTTGATATGGCGCTGTAGGTAGGCTGAAGCATGACCTCCCGGAAGTGTGGGAACGGGGGAGACACAGGTGCCAGTCCTTGGGTTGGGTGCCAGAAGTTGTGGCAAGCTATATCAAGACAGTATCGAGCTGTAAGGAGTCTAACATGTATTTTACAGCATCTCCAATACTCATAGCACTTTCCCATTAGTCTCCTGGTGTCCTTTGTTGCTGGCACTGGTAACCAGATTTCGCCCTAAAATGGCACGGGCACAGTATAGTACTCGCAGCCAGTCAAGCTCGCTTGCTAAGGACCGCAAAGGGGAGTTTTATGATTTTAAAATGTATAAACACTAGCTATAGTGTCGTAAAGCCGTAGTGAAGACATTATAGATAAATTCAGGAATACGAATATTGTGCTTAGTCTTCGAGTCCCTCCTTCGAATATAGGACGTCAGTTGATGCTTATATTTGCCGAACAACTTCGAGAATATACGGTAAATATACCAACTAGCCCCAATGAAAATATAATCCCCTTTTCGAAGCAGCGTTGAGGTTACTTCTTTGGTCGTGTCGCCTCCTTTGCGTGCTGTGGTAAATTGGGTAGTACTCCGAGACAGGCACTACCGGAAGTTGGACCGCTGGACCGCCCGCGGCCTTGGTACTGTTGCGGAAGAGGTGGGCTATATTTTTCTGGCTTTTTCCGTGCTTCTAACTGTTTAGCCACCTATTGTCTTTTCGCCTCTCTTTTTAATTCTTTGGTGATAGCGGGTGGCAGCACTAGGGATAAGCGTTTTGAGGAGACACATTGTATAGCTACACGAGGTAAAACGACGAGTAGTGTGGACTCATGATTGAGGGCGAATGTCTTTTTTAATCCATCAAGACAAATGTTCGCATTTAAATAATGGAGACGATGGCTTAGTCCAGCCGTTGCACGTACTTGGCAAGGAAACAGCGAGCGAGCGAATATCGAACGGCATGGCGAGGGCACCAAATGGAGATATCAACTCGGATCTCGGCATTTGTCCCTTTATTGGAGAGCAAGTGATGAGTTTTTGCTCTTTTTATACTGTTAGGCAGGAACAGCGCGTTACCTCCAGTCGTTACCTCCAGTATGCCTATCACTTGTTTGTCGTTTGCGGTCCATCACAAACGCAGCTGTTTTTGCAATCAGTAATGCTTGCATGGTTTAGGTGGCGACTATCTGTTTTTATTTCAGCTCTTCTGACGGCTTGATGGGTGGCCACATCCATCATCGAAATCCGGTCAGCGCATCGAGACTTAGCAGTCCATTTCGGGCCAGGCCTTCAACGACCGCCAGGTCTTTCGGCGCGGGTACATTGGCCACTTTAGCTCTGTCGGAATGGCCTCCAGATGCGTGGAACAGGGGAACAGGGCCTGGGGGTATACTGGCAACTGAGCGACACTTGAGCTGGTGGCCAGCTTGCGTGTAGCCCGTTTCAATACACTGGTGGCTTACGCCGCAGTGTGCCCAGTCAAGCGCACAAGTAGAAGGGAGGCCATAACTACGAGACCATTGTCATCTAATTCGGCCGTGTCTCTTCCAATTCGCATGACGATGCGAGCACTTGCTCCGGCACATCTCATACTAATATACTAAAGCTCGGTCGGCAAAGCGGCAGCACGTTCTGCAGGGAACACGAAGTATTGCTACCCTAAGTTAGGTATGCGGCCTAAACTGGCAATGCTAGACGACGGACTTGGCGTGCAATTCGTGGCCGGCGTTACGACCTGGGTGCCGGATTGTTGCATGACGCCGCTGTGGCGCGTCGGACTGCATATCAGGTAGTACTTTTGCATATATTTCCAACCAAAGGCTCTATATTGAGCACCCCTTACGTGTCATTTCTCATTTATTACCAAATCCCGAGTTTCACGACATTTAGTTACGTCACCCCGCACAACCATCTCGTCGGGCTGCCGTCTGCTGATTCCGCGTATTGTCCAAGAAGGATAAATTGCCGCTTCCCCCCCAAACGATTCTCCGAGGCTTTCTTCTCCTCCAGAAAACTTACATCCTAGTTCACGGCTTCCTCTATGCAATAATTTACTTTGGAACAATGATTCCCACCCCATTCATCGTTATTTCTCTTCTCTGCCTCTTTGCCGAGGCAGGCCTGATTTCCCGCGGCGAATCTACCGTAGACTCTGCGGTGGTTGTATTTGCCATTCTCCGAGATACTCCCATTCATCACGGGCTATTCGCAGCCAACGGAAGCGCGATCTGGATTGGAAAGGATACGGCCTCCTACTGCCCACCAGTTGTAGAGGAGCGGGGAGAATGTCCAAAGGGCAAAGACACAAGTTTCTGGGTGAATGACCGTTGTGGAATGGTAAGAGCTTACTCATACACGTGTTTGCGCTCTTGGACTTATGCAGCCGAACGTAGAATGCCATTGTTCCTGGTGGCCAGCAAGCCTACGTCGCCCCTGAAGGGACAATATCTTATACGGCGCCTCACTCCGCTTACATACCTCCGGGGTCAATCACAACGGGCTTCCATCTGCTTCCAACGCAGTTTGAGGGGTTCTGGGAATTCGCAATCGATTCGCACGAGTTGATGGCATGCCCTGAGACGCCAGGACAGGGACCGTGGCAAGTCATTGTTGTGAGAGAGAATTCAAGCGTGCCGAGCCGCGATCCTACGGATTGCCTGAAATTCAAAGCTTATGCAAAGGCGGTTAAGGATCCGGTATGGGAGTATCTTTCAACACTTGGTTCTCAACCTATTGTAGTGCAAGAGTACTTATAAACTCGGCAGAGTGTGCTAGGTGGAGAAAACAACAGGACGGGGAAACTGCGAGGCCATAACTACACATGTCCAAATAATACCGATGGCTCATCGTAGGCCCAATTAGAAATTGACTTTTGAGTATATTTATAGATAACCTATGGGATTAGAAAAAACTAGCAGACAGTGCTTATTTTTAAGCTAGTCTTTTGGTGTCTTGGAATCAGACGACCCGACTTAGTTGATATACGTCACGTGCGGCCATTTTAAGTTTTTAGAGTGAGTCACTTGCACAAAAGTATATTTTACTTTTATGTAATAGCCGAGATCATCATGAGATAACCTTTACAGGCGCTCCACGATGAATCACTAATCTGCTAGTTTCTGACGCATCGTGATGCCTGTGTTTACGGTGCATGACGTAGTATATAACAGTTCTCTGGTTTCGGTACGACCAGGAACATAGTAATGATTTTATTACGCCCTACCTTACTTGCATGAGTACTCTTATGGGTCAAGATAATAACTTAATAATTATACATCATTACTTAAGCAAGTACAGATCTAGCTTGCATCACAAATACGATCATCACGCAATAGAGTTGTAGCATATCGCGCGTTTTTGACGATATCCAAATGGATCTCAAAGGGTAGAAACCGTAAGGTATACATACTCAGAGTCTTCACTTTACAGTGTTCCGATGTTCGGCTCAGCACTAAGAGTCTGTCGCTATTAAAGATAACTGAGGGTATAACTGCAAGGAATTGTAAGTACGAAGGTTGTTGTATACTTCTCTACTCATTCTGGTAATTGATGATAATAAGGGATACTGCCTCTACTATATTAGAAGGAAGCGGAAAATAAATTAGTCGTAAGATTTCCTTAATTGAATCAACTAAATGAGTCACCAGGAAAGAGCCAGAAAATATTCTGCCCTTTCCATAACTATATTTAATATTCGTAGCTCCCTGGCTTCACTCCTTATTCTAGGTAATTATACCAGAAAAGCAACTTGTAAAGAGATGATTTCATAATATGAGAATATAAGGGCAGCTGTTTTGACTGACTGGGAGACGGCCTAGTATCCAGTCGCGTATGCAGTATCAAGTGATATGTTTTAGCGTAGAGTGCTGCTAATACTTCACTCTGGTAACCCGACTAGTCTTATTTCTTATTTGTCTCAACATACACTTTGGTGCTAGTCGTTGGTTGAAGTAAACTTAAGAGTCCCAGAACGGCAGATACAGCATAGTATTGTCATTGGCGGAAGCACTTATAACCCTCATCCCAACTATATTACACCTTAGGTTACCCTAAACCTGGCTCCTAGAATCAAATATTATATTCTACGATTCTTCTTGTGAACATTTCTGCGTCACATCGCTTCCTTAAGGTACACGGTGTCATGGGTCCTTGCATTGCACACATTTTGGTTACTGAAGTTTATTTAAAGTCCTCGTTACCCAAATGGTTGTAGTATGTCTGTCCCTGGCTTGAATTTCCAAGACATCACATAATTGTTAAGAGTCTTAGCCTTATCGCCAACCAACCTCTCATCATGCCTCTTTGGAAGATCTATCATAGCGCAGACGCGTTCGCCGCCCAAGAATAGAAGGATGCTGCTGCCCGTGGTGCAACGGATCTCTATGTTTCCAAGGGCCTTCCGTCATTTTACGTTCACGTCATCTTCTTTCTTATTGCAACAGAAAACTAACTCACAGGCGGCAAGTCGAAATCCCGATGTGTCATCATTGAACTTGCGCACATTGCAAGTAATTGGGATGGAGACCAAAAAGGAGCGACAGTGATCGAGGACATTATCATTCGCATCATGCCATCATTTCCAATGAACAAGGGAATCCATCTCGAGTACGCTATCCTAGAGGGACCGGCGACTTTATGGAGAGTCGACGGACTGACCCGCCGGAAGCATTTGGGCCAGATGAGCAAGCCGAGGCGAGCCGAAAGATTCTGTGCGAGAAGAGGTGCCTGAGACCCGTCTTTTTCTCAAACCAACCCGCCGACAGGGCGGGACAGGGAATGAGATGGAATGACTACATTCTATGGAAGTAGCATGAACAACGTGCTGGCAGGAGTCAATGAACTCGCTATAGCTCTGAAAATGGTACCAGGCTCTTTTGTCCCATGAGTACGGTAAACTACGCCCCAGTCCGGTGACTTATCTCATTGTGCAGTTACTAAACTGTTCCCTTTTCATGACTCTTCTTGTTTTGTGAGGCAGGAAAATGTCCCTCCATTTCATGATTTAAGAAAATCATGTTCAATTATGGTTTCTCAGCCCCTGCATTACCCGGGTCATCGGCTCTCTCCAACATGGCCATGCACAGCAACGTTGCGTGCTATAGGATTCAAAGGTCTCATATATCACAAAACTGGTCGTTGTAAACATTGAAGAGCGGAATCTCTCCATCACATGGCTCTAGGGCATACACCATGTCTGTACCTCTACTCCTCCTTCATGCCAGTGACCTCATTCAGCACCTGGATCTGACTCTGTTTGTTGGTGAATGGGCCGGCCAGAGCTTCAAGTTCGGCGACCTGGGCATCAACGTCATCACTTGAGGTGCGTTTGGTACCGTGAGGTGATATCTCCCTTTCCGTGTGCGTCAGCATGAAGTTTCAGAGATTAGTGAAAAGATACCTATTCTTTCGGCCATATCTGTGCTGTATTCTAGCAGCAAGCTGCGCAGGTTGTCCATTGTCGGCAATACAATACCAGTCCGTGCCACTGCGACAAATCTCGTGACGGAATCAATATTTCCTACGATGGTACTTGAACCCGGCGCCAAGCCCAAAGCTTACTTAGCTACCTACAGTTAATTGCGAACACCCAGCAGAAGTCACGATCAAGAACGGCTTGCGTGTAAGCCTCGAGTGGACGAAATGTGGTTGTCATGGGAATATACTCAACAGCCCCAAAAAACTGAGGTTCGATGGCTGCATTACTCGATACAATACCTCATATGATGGACTAGTAAGTCGTGCTTGATATGGGAAAGTTCGGATCAGAAATAAAGCAAGAAACCCATATTGACGTATCCTGATTAAGCTGCTCTGAGCACCACACACTATTGAATTTAAAGTACATCCCAATATCGGCAAAGACGCGCCTTCGAAAAAATACCGCCTTCCTTCGTCTGGGCTCCATTGATATATGCAGATTGCGCAGTTATCCGATTGTAGGTAGCTCTTGTTAATGACAGTCTTTCCAGCGCGATACCCAGGAAATTACATGGTGCCATCTTCTTGCGGTATCATCATCCCGCGCCAGTGGGCCGTACATGGCCTCGTAGCCTCCGACTGTATAAACACTAAATTGTGGTAGCTTGCGCACTATGAATTGCCTGAATCTGTATTTGTCGAATCTCCTGGGCATTCTGCAAAAGGCAATTTACTTGTCCACCCACAAATATTATAGTCTTGCCTTCAAGGTGACCGTGACTGTATCTTCGATGACTTCGGGTAAGTCGCTTACTTTAAATATTCCTTCTCATTTCAACTTTCACCAAGTCACAGTAATTTCAGTGCCTGGCAGGTTATTCCTGAGGTCCCCCACAGTCCGCAGCCAAACTCTCGCTTGTCTTTCGGAGGTGAAGTAAGTATCCAAATCCCGAACTCTGTGATTGTCGCAAACAAAGGTAGTAGGTATACAGTAGCAGACATCAGCGGTTAGAATCGGTTTCTTGCGAGCTGCTGACATCCAGTATTCCTCTGCCAGCACCACAGCTTCACAAAGTGTCACGGTAAGTTTGCTATTCCAAAGGCCATCACTGTGTGGCCATTTTCGGACTAGGGACATCAGCCTGCGTCGCAGCACGCTATTGCGGCAGTTGTTTGCTGTGTAGATGAAGACATCGGAGAGTGGCAGAGCAAACGAGAAGCTAGTCGCCGTTTTTTCCTGATGCACGCCCACGGCTATTATCTTGTAAAGATCCTCCGCTTGATTAATTATTCTTTCAAACAGGCTTTCGCATACGTCATAGGCAACCTGCGAGGCTGCAAGGTCGATCTTGAAGCCTATTTCCAGCGTAGTGAAAAACATTTGTAGAACCGCTATGCCCTCAAGATCGGATGGTGTGCTAGGGTTTTGGAGCCGCAACAAGTCGTCAAACTTTGTCTTCCAGTTCATGAATTCGTGGCGATAGGCGACTTGTATGTCTGGACGAGGCTGTACAAGGTCAGGAGGCGAGCCTATAAACCTCGTGGCGTCCATGAAGCTGGTAAGAAGAGGTAGGAATTCTAGATATGCATCTGTTACCGAAGTGAATGATTCAGATGATGACTTCCATAGCTTTCTATTGCCAAGCCACGTAGGGCTTATTAGGTGGCTTAGTCTGTTTATGAATTGACACTCAAAATTCATGATGGAAGCGATTAGAGAGCTAGAATGAACCAAGCTACTGCGAGTAGAAGAAGCTGCTGATCTCTCTGCCTGTTCCCAAAATCTCCAACGATAGAAAAGTTCGATTGAGTTACGTGCATGCGCCGTTGCCTCTTTATGAAGGCCCTGCAAGCAACATAGTCCAAAGAGTAAGGCGTTCGATATGAGTATGGTTTCTTGGTCATTAAACGACATATCGTCTATCTGACGCGCAATCGTAATAAGTTGGTGGATAGATTTATTATACTCTAGCAGTGAGAACGTATAATACTGCTGCCGGGCGGGTGTCTCTGTCTCTGCAGGGATGATCTCCGACAGTCCAGAGCCGCTAAAGCAAGGGCAGCGTGCCACACCGCCGGGCTAACTTGAGTAGCCCGCAAGATGTCGTGTGCCCAGAATGCAGGGTCGAAGCAACCGGCAATTTGGTTTACTGTTGCACGGCAAAGCGTCATGAAAACCAGCCTGTGCATATGACTGGGCTCGATCCCGGGAGGCGCCAATGTAAGATCAGGATGTGGCATGATTGTCGACCTCGCTAGTGCTCTATGATATGCATATCCATTACACTTTCTTCCCGTAGATAAACACTTATTGCAGCTGGGCTTGTTTTCATCGCAGTTGACGCGACGTTTTCTGGCAGGCACCCAGGATTAGAGCTTAATGATACTCCTCATGCAGGAAAAAAAAAAATATTTGATGACAGATGCGGGTGTTAAAACGAACCTACAAGTGAGACACCCAGTTCTAACCTTTGGAGCCAACCTCTTGCTGCGGGCATGGATGGGCTTGTGCATGATGCTTGCCAGTGTATCTTTTAACCGTGGAGATAAACCTTGCTTCTGAGCGACTGTGCATGGAACGAGGGTATAAAAATTGTCAGTTGGCGTGTCTCGGTGAGCAGAACGACATGTGTTGAGGGGGAGTTGCAGATCTCGAACGATGTGGAGGAGACCCACACGAAGGCCGTGTCTGGTTGGCTCGCTCGTTTAAATCTCCACGAAATTCGTTTCGGCCCGTTGCCTTGCCGAGTTTGCTGGGGCCGGAGTGTCGGAGCTTGGCGCGGGATTTATCAGCTGGTCCAGCCAATGGGAACCAAGCAAGGTAAGCGCAAGCTCACACTGCTCACTGTCACGTAATATTGCGGACCTTGTTCTGCTCCTATTCAATCATTATTCGCCACGCCAGTTCAACAATGCCTTGCGTGATAATGCGGGTGTTGTTATGAGAAGAAGGGTGAAAATGAGACGATAGAGAGACGTCAAAAGGTGGAAATAGGATCTTGTGTTTGAATTCAAATTCATCCAAGACTGCGACATGATCAAACTATTGGCGCCAAGTAGTCTAATTGAGAGAAGCTAATCTGGTAGGACTCTACGCAATACATCAAGACTCAGATATTCCAGGCTCTCTACGTCCAATTGAAGCTTGTCAGTGCCCTATAGATGGCACAGTCTATCAGCCTCGACCTTTATTTCTGCGATTGCGCCCAAGGGTAACTTCATTTTATCGCTGTGCTTTTCATGGTTCACAGTGTACATGTTTTCGTACTCGGCGGGAAGGGGGCCGTACGGCCCCCTGTCTTGGCCTGTCTGATGTGATTTGTACGCAGCCATGGCGGCGGCGTTCTCGTTCTTGTGCCGGCATAAAAACTGGAAGACGCCACGGACGGCGCTGTCGAGGGTGCGGACGACCCATGCGTGATGGGCCGACGCCGCCTCGCTGATGATGATGTGCTTGCCTTCATGGGCCTTGAGTCCTTGGTACATGTACTTGAACTGGCCGGGCGCAATATAGGCAAAAGCGCCGGCAGTGTGAAGATCTGTGCTCAAGTCGTGCGCGGAGTGGTCGAGGTAGCTGTCGGCGATCATTTCATGGATTTCCTTACACTTGTCGTCTGTCGCGGATGAGCACCTTCTTGAGCTCACCCTCGCCCTCCGGCGACTTGCGGTTAATCAGGTAGCCAATGCGGTTGGCCTCCTGGCCCCAGCAGTACAGCCCCGGCAGCACTCCGGGCTTTTCAAGGTCGTCGCGGGCGCCGCATGGCAGGTAGACGCACCGTCGGATGGGCAGGTCGGTCTGCCAGCGCTGCCGGTGGTGATATTGCAAGGGGGCTTCTTCCACCAAAGGCTCTTGAACCTCACGCCTACCTTGCATGACGGGCCGTAGCCGAGGGACCGGATTGCCGATTTGACTTCCCAGCGGAGGTCCAGGTTCTCCAGGTCCATTTGCTACATAGCCCCGAGCGCCGCCGAGTTGAAGACGGCATCCTACAGCTTCGGTGTCTCCCCGTGCTGACGTGCACGTTGATATGCTGCTTGTTGCTGGTGTAGCCCATTTTCACCACTCTCTTCCCAAAAAAAGGACATTTTTTTCGACGTTTGAGCTTGTTGAACATATTTTGGGCCAAATTTTGGCTCCCTCCCTCGATGCATCATCCCTTGTGTCCGGGGCTGCTAAAGATTATGGCTTCGATGATTTTATCCGTGAGTCCTTGGTTATACCAACTGTCGCCGCTGGCGAGGTTTGAAATTTTGCAATTAATGAGGGGATATTACGCGGCTATAGAACTTACTGTTCCACTGTCTCGAGGAACTGGATGGCCTTAACCTCTATGGCCCAACCGGAGATTAGCTATTGCTTTTAAACAAAAGACAAGAGAAGAGCGTATGGTTCAGCAGAAGACTCTGTCCTTGCTCATATTTTATTGGTTCGAAATATGTAACTAAGTGTGTAAATGCAGTAAAATATATTTATACATTGGAGTTGCTGACTAGACGCAAGAAGCGCGGCTATGCCTGCGGAATATAGCGACTCGTGCCACCGCTTTTGGTAACGCTTTTGGCGTTGTGAGGTAGTGAAGATCTAGGAACATTGGCCAACCCAGTTTTGTGTTGGACCTTGGCAAGGTTGGAGACGGATCAAATGTGAAACTAAATATCGAAATAAAATTGAGAAGAGGGAAGAGCGGAGAATTTGCTTTCAGAGCCCATTATACGCAGACAAAAGTATGTGGAGGTATAGAAACAGCTCCAATCCAAAGTACCATTATCTGTACCAAAGGCTATGCTTTCTTCACACAAAACACAGACACAATCGCAATTGCATGTCTAATTGTGCGAATTCTGTCTGCAAGCGCCAATTAACACAAACTAAGCAGCCCTAAACACTGCATCAGTCCCATGGGGAAGTGTCTCCATACATCATGCATACTTCGATCTTCCTAACTTGGGCGAGAACCACAGACGTGGAAGCTTGTAATGCCGCCTCAGCTGACAGCAGCCATCTCAAGAATCGCCCTTTCGACAGTATCCATTGCCTTCATTTCCTCGTTCTCCTGCTTGACTTCTAGCACACGTTTCTTGTAGTTTGAATTACCCAAGACTGTACTCACTGCTCCACGAATCTGTTCCTCCGAGGGTGTCGCAGTCTTTAGGTTGACGGCCACACCGGCATATTCGCCACGAGCAGCCACTTCAGGCTTGTCCTCCGAATCACCCGCCAGAATCATGGGCACTCCGTTCAAAACACCTTGGATGAACCCACCATAGCCTGCATTCATGATGAAGACGGAGGCACGAGGGAGAACGGCATCATACGGAAGATAATCTATGACCCGAGCATTGGGCGGTATTTGAACCTCAGCTGAGAGACTAGCCCCCCTCCGACCGAGAATGGCAACGACAAAAATGTCTGAGCGATGCTTAAGTGCTTGTAGAGAGGGGATGAGTAGATCTGCGTAGTCGACAGCAATGGTTCCCTGCGAAACCACGATGACGATCCTGTCTCCACGAGTGACGTCTTCCCAGAAGCTGGGAGAAACAAACATCTTGGTAGAGGGACGGTAATTGAGCGCGCCTGCGAATCTGACTTTGGGGTGAATGTCCGATCGCTTGTACTCCAGGCTCGGAGGACACATTTGGAGTGTGACATCAGCAGCTGTAGCGAGAGTATCGATCGGCAAGGCCGCCTCGTAATTGACTGCCCCCAGGTCTCGGAGCGTCTTTTCATGAGTCGCTATGGAATCCGCGAATGTGACGGTTACCATCTCTTTGTATTGAGCACGATATGTCTCACGACTCTCGTCTCTGCCATCAGGAATGAGCCCTAGACAGAATGGCGGAGTGTCCTGACTTGGCAAAGTATAGGGAACAGCGTGGATATTGACTGTCCTCGGTCGCCTGGTGAAGCCGTGTGGTAGCGCAGCACCGAGATACATGGGAGCATCTCCTAGATAGAACGTCTCCGTCAGGATAACAATGTTGTGCGTCGGGGCCTCTCTCTTCATGTGCTCCAAGACGTTGTATAAGACGTCTTTTTGAGCTTTCGTCGGCTCAATGAAGTACTTCAGGAGGCTCTGCCGGATTCTTGCAAAGTATAGCCCATGGCGATTGCTCTCCTCCACTGGCTGGACAAGATTTATAGGGGGAACGCTGAAGAACTTGGCACCACTTCGTTCAATTCTCTCTCGATATTCATCTCCTGCGATGAATGTGACATCATAGCCCCGCTGTATCAAAACCTCGACGATATTGATGATAGGCATCGTGTGGCCCGTAAAGGGGGAAGCGCAGGCCAAAATCTTGAGCTTGGTCTTGTCCACACCCCCGTTGTGTGCGAGAATGAGACTTGACGCCGTCATGGCGAAATATTAGGGTTATGTAGAAGAAAAAACACTGTTCAACCGCTCAAACTTGTTGTAGCTCAGAGTCATACCAGATCATACAACAGGGAATTTGATGGACGCTTGAAGGGTACCGCAATTATATCAAGAAAGTAGAGGCTATGATATCTCTATGATATCTCATAGAGAATATGGAGCGACCACGGGTATGTGAGCCCCGACCAATAACATTGATATTACGGCCCGATGCTCCCATAGGCTGAAGTCGCTCGATGTCTCGGTTGACAAAGTCCACCCCGAAAGATAAGCACGTATGGAAGGGACGGCACGTTCCCCGCCCGGATGTATCCGATTCCACCAGTCCTTTATTTTGAGTCCTACAAAGTCAAAAGCCCCATTCCAAGTGATTGGACACGCCTCGGCCGAAGGCGCGAGTGCCGATCCGCACCGGTATTTCTCAGCATAATCTTGCACCATACGCAACTCATCACGCGACCTTTACCTTTATTAAGCCGTTTCGGCCGACACACCTGCATCCGGAAGGCCCGACCTCCAGTTTCATGCCTAGGCACTCGGTGTACAAGTAAGGGCCTGGAAGCGATGTGGCATCACGGTGTTGGAGGGTTGGCCCCTTGCTGATTAGGCTACATACCACTCCTTTGAGTTTTTTTCATTTGTTCAATCGTGGGGTATCGTAAATTTGTCTAGTCTCAACTCTCGGTTGCAGAACTCAAAGTGAATCGTCAGTTTTGTCGCACAATCTATCTAGCTTGCTTCACCGTTTTCCGCATTCCAGTATTATGAAATCAGTGAGTGATCTCAATGCATATCATACATGAGGAGTGTCTACAAGAGCCGTAGATGACTGTTTGAGTCATCCTAACCAAACTTTGCCACCTCGCTCTTCCGCTTCTTTGCTGTTCGGACGCCGAGCGATGCCGACTACTCTCATCCCCAGGCCAGAGGTGTAGAACTCGGCAATATAACTTCTTTATTTACTCCCGCTACCTTCTAATTGGAAGGAAATATTCAACCTTCGCCCCTGTTACGGAACGTCCGGACGCGGGATAGGGTTACATACGGATATTATAGCGTAACATCGTCGACCATCATGCAGCAGAATTGTCCGCTGACGAAGCGGCTTCAAGAAACTTGGCAAATATTCGTAAGAATGATCGCCATGTTTTCTCTCTAGTAGTTGGAGCGACTTGACGAAGCCGTTGGAAGGGGAAAAAAAGATGAACCACAGACAAGCTCTACGACTCGGCAACGCCGACTGGATACGCAATGGTCATATGTGTATATAAGTATGGTCTTCGTGCCCAAACACCTAGCGCTCTCCGTCTTTCGTTCATCTCATAAATCTCCTGCTTGATATATAATCCTGTGTCAAAGAGTTTAATAACCCGCCGGCCCAATCATGGTTGTCGAAATACAGAAACTCGAAATGTCGGACGGTTTTCTCGTCTATGCCAACCCCAAGGCGGCCATGGAGACGCAATTCATCCACAAGGAAATCTTTCTAGACAATTGTTATGATGTCGCATCCTTCCCAGAGGACGCCTTCATGATTGATGCGGGAGGCAACATTGGCATGTTCAGCCTGTACATGAAGAAGAAATACCCGGCTGCCAAAATCCTAGCATTTGAGCCCGCACCGGCAACTTTCAACACATACAAGAAGAACATGGAACTGCATAACATTTCGGGTGTTCAGGTCCATCAGTACGGGCTGGGTCGTGAGAATGCCAACGAGATATTGACGTTTTATCCCAACATGCCCGGCAATTCAACCTTGCATGGCGACGAAAAAGAAGAGTTTATCAAAACAGCGGATTCGGAGCACCCTGTCATCAAGCTGTTAAGCGAAGTCGAGCAGGTTCAGGTCGACGTCAAACGACTATCCGGATTCCTAGACGAGCTTCCTGACCTGAAGCGGATTGACTTGCTTAAGATCGACGTCGAAGGGGCGGAGCTCGACATCTTTCGCGGACTGGACAATGCGCACTGGGACTTGATTGAAAACATTGCCTTGGAAATCTGTGACCATAACGGAGCATTGGCAGAAGCTGAAGCGCTCTTGCGGGAGAAGGGATTTGAGACTTCCAAGGAGCTGGCGGACTGGGCACCCAAAGAGATGCCGATGTACATGATGGTAGCAAAGAGGGCCCATTAATGGCTTTACTCTTGCATCCCGACTTGTATACTTGATAGCTAAAGCCCATAGCTGGCAACGCTGCTTTTTTGCGTTTGTTGTCTATTTTTCTATAGACCCTGGCTAGTTAAATGTAGTTTTAATTAGGTTTCGCGTCAAGTATATTAGTTTTAGCGAATAGAGCATGAATTATATCAAAGATCTTGTCAGCTATAACTATTATCGTTCCGGGGCATCAAAGAATCCAACCCTGGAAAATGATATCTTCGATTGTGACTGCGACACGCTCGAGATACCAACCGACAAACCCCGTTACAGCGAGCTCAAAGACTGCCTAGAATGACATGCGATGGTGCGGCGTCTGTACGCCAAAGGCCGCTTCCCTGCCCTTGAGCACCTGCCACTGAGCGAGTTGATGCTTGAACGCTAAAATTGGACCTTCGACTCTATGAGTGGATAAGTACGATTCTTTGATACGGTATGCCTGATGCATACAGGTATCGGCACCGCGGATTCCACCACTTTCGTAGATATGCGCACTCAGGGGTAGCATTATGCATCAACATTCAAGTGTCTGCACATATCTATGAGTAAAAAAATCCATCCGCAGGATCAACAATATGGTGGTCGTAAGTCACAAAGCTGAGATGGCCCGCATCATCTCCAGCTACGTTAATAAACTCATCGCAAGATGAAGACGACAATTTCGTTACCCCCTCAGCACAGTGGTTGCCGGGATGCTTTGACGAGATATGACTCCATATTTAGACACTCGCCAGGCCCTGGCTCGACATCCTCATGATTGGAGACATCGTTCCCAGGGGATTTTCTCGCCGTGAAACGTCCTTGTAGTGTAGTTGAGCGGTAATTTATGAGCGCCATGTCTCCGTCGGCCACTGGTGTAGTTTTGGAACATGACAAGCTGATGAAATGACAAAGGAGTTGGAACCACCAGACGGCATTCGTCCTGGCATGGTTCTGTGACCCAGCGCGAGAGGGTTTAAAGGGAGCACAATGACAGCGATGAGAAGCCAAAGTACCATAAACGTTGAATAACTAGTGACCACGTAGGAAACTGAATCCAGCCTTGGGAGAGGCTGTTTGGTTTGTTTGTTGGTACCATAGGGATAAGGGGACTCTTGTAACGTGTAATGTCCCGAGCGGCGCATAGCTTAGTAGGAATTGGGATTCGAAAGCCCAGCCAAGTAGTCACTCGCCACCTTCAATTGCAATAGTGTAATGTGCATTCGAACAAACCCAATAAAGAAGTATACTGACACATATGAGTGGAATGATATAGCGATCAGGAAGCTGTAGCCATTACGTCGATCTGTGCTGGCCCTTGGGATCCGTGACTCGAAGAGTGCGGTACCTCGGACTATACGAGTTCCACTCCCTTTCCACAGCAAGATGGGTGAATATGGAGTTTTATACCATGTAAGTAAGGGAGAGGATTATTTGAGGCAAGCTAACTTCAGTGAAATCAACATATAACGAGTCACGTCTATTTCCGCGAGTGCTGACTCCATTTGATATATGGTCCGTCAGCTTCTGTCTGCCACAGAGTGTTAGTGAACGCTTTTTCGACGGACTTGCACCACTCACAAAACGTGTATAGGAGAGAAAACTCGGCAAATTACAAAAGCGTAGCAAGCAACGCAGGCAATCAAGCTGAAAATGGTGTAATTCCTCACCCAGATACTCGTCCGAATCGCTGATAGCCAACGTCGAGGCTTTGATAGCTACTGCGTTGGTGCGGCCACTTTTACAATTTTCAAGGTGATAGATCTCTTTACCTGCTCCCTATCCAGTGTGCATCTGCCAACCGTGCTCTTGTCCCGGTTGCTGATGAAGGACGCAATGGCATCTCCCGGAACTACGGTCATGTTTGCTCTTGGGCAGCAAGAATAAAACCACGAGGCAGCTGAAAGCCTTAACGCAGACACAGACCACAACAATGAATAGTATGGTGTTGGAAAGGCCGACCTTGCACACATCCGATACTTGCTCGGCCAGGCAGTATTGTAGATCGAGTATTGCAGTGTCTTGCTCGTGGAGATCAGGCCAGTAAAGGGGGGCGTAAATGCTTGAAAGATCTGGCTGAGTGGTCCTATTCCAACTGAGAAAACTTCAAATGTGTAGTTGGACGGTAAAGATGCCGCTGACTTGGTCGAATAAACGGCAGAGGTATTGCTTTCACCAAAGGCGCCGTAGCATTACTGATGACAACCGTCTTTTCCGTCGAGTCCGCTGGTGCTGCAACTTGCGGCAAACCAGAGAGAAGTTGATAACCTGGATATCAAACTATAAGTGAACACGTCGGGCTGAAAAGCGTCATCCCATGACACAGCAGTCGATGTTGCCAGAGCTTGAGAATGATGACGCGTGCGGTTTTGGTGACCATGATGCCGCAGCAGCGATCTTCGTTGCCGGGGGCAATGGCTTCCTCATCAAATCATCGTCTTCACAGATTTCCACTACGCTCAGCTTGCAGCGATTAGCCAGAATCAACAACACCATGAAGATTACAGAAACTCGAGTCGCAGCCCGTGGGGCAATTGTCCTCAACACATTGTCGGCAAAAGCACAAAACATGTCTTACGGAGCTGATAACTTTTACATTAGCAACAGTGCGACTGTTTGGCCAAACTCTTTCCAAACCCAGTACCGCACCAAGGTGGCAGGCAATCTCTTCCTCCCCAACAGCCTCGATCGCAGCGAGAACAACTCGGCCACCATTGTGGGACACCCCATTGGCGCCGTCACGCGCAATGGGCTGCGACAATCGCAGAGCGTTTCTCGGCGCAAGGAGATTATTCCACGACCTTTATCGCACCTCACGTGGTGTTTTTACGCCGGCGAGCTCCTCGCCAAATCTCGCGACACATCCAACCCTCTCGACCAACTCCAAGTTTATGAACTTTTATCCGTTTAATGATATCGACACGATTTCGCTTCGTTCGACGCTACTCATTGCTGGCGACCAGGCACCCTCGCGCGAGTTTGTGAAGATGCTTACAGGCTTGCATTGGATCCCAAGGAGCTATTCTGGGTGCCGGGCGCTGGTCATGCCGACCTCTACGACCGAGTGGATTTGATACCCTTTGGCAAACTTGTTGATTTCTTCGAGACAAGCCTTGGTGGTAACTGAGCTAGCTTCGTCGTAGCTAGGGCCACGGTGACGTCTCTTGCTCGCATTGTTTTGGCGGGGAGAGCCCGGGGTACAATGTAGATAACTGGTTTGACCATTTTTTTGCACTACTTTGCAATAACTACCGAAATTGATGGATCAAGGTCGTGTTTGTGTGAGAAAGTGCTTAAGCATAATCGGACGAGTTGTTGAGGTTGGATACGGTCTTGTTCACTTTAGGTTATAGCCGTGAGTCTTGCGGTCTGCTATACGGTCTACATGACATGGAGAGACGGGGAAGAGACAAGGCTCAAAACGGGCCTACTTTTGAGCTGGGAGATTCATTAAGACATCGCGGATCGAGGTTTTCTCATGGGACAGGCCAATACTCGAGGCTGCTTCACAGCTTCAATGGCCAGTCCACCTTGCGCTGGGAAGCATGGCTTTGCGCTCCGAAACTGGGCTCACTGGGCCACGTACACGGCATTTCCTACTTTCTACAAGAGTCTGGTGAAATAGTTTCGGAAACTACCAGTTGACACATGTAGGTATATCGCTTAGAGGTGCAGCTACCCGAAACCTACTTCTTATTCTCAACGACAATGCTCCACACGCACGGCGATACGCAGCTCAAACACTATCAGGGTGTTTATGTTTCGCGCAGAATCCTCACGAGGCAAGATCTTCCGCCTGACGCCGGTATACTCAGCCGCAATGTGACCTGTCATTGGCACCCTTGTCGCTTCCAATCCATGGTTCCAGAATCCCGCGTCGGAACAGTCCAATGACGAGTCGGAGCCCGAGCTAGATTATGCTAGCAATCTCGGTATGCATCTACGTCGCATCCTCCATTATTCCCAACTTCTCGCTATTGTCCGAAGCGGTCGAGGGTTGGTCTTAACTCAGCCTCAGCCAACAGTAACAGTCATATCAACCAGGCCCTTTTCTTTACTTGCTGCACAGCCGCAGGGCTTATGTGCACAATGGGGTTGACTCCCTGTCAACCCTAGATGTCTGGCATCTACGGAGTAGTGTTAGTTCCATTGTTGACGCTTGGATGAAAATCTGCATGGATGAGATTCAGGCAGAATCAGGCAGCAGCGGTTGACAACCAAAGACTTCATCATGCAGATGAACAAACCAATAAACACCAGTTGAACAAACATTATACTCACACCGCCCTGCTAGAATTGCAGGCTGTGCCGGGGCAAGACTCTCGGGCTTTAGGCTGCAGCCTCATCATAGTGAGCAGTGCGGTGAATGGAATAAACCACGTTGACCACCAGCACAATACCACTTGACCTTTCCACATGTCTATATATACTTGAGTCTACCTGCGCCCTTGGAGCCAGAATTTGTCCAGTCACAAACTTTCTAACTCCCATCAAAATATCCTCTGTATTCCTCTTGATACTTTCCTGGTAGGGACAGTCTGCAGTCGTATTCTCTGACATCTCTGTACCAGTATCTTCTGGCCCAACATGACGGTCAACGACCAAGCCGCATTCGACGCTTGGAAGCAACATGGCAGCCCGTCCCGTCAGGACATTGAGCTGGTAACCACGCAAATGCTACGTGATAGTCATCCTGGCTACCATATCACGCGTACCAAACGCTCATCTTGCGATGTGATGGGCTATGCTGATGCAGGGCATGCGTCCAAGACGCTCCAAGACGCCGCGGGCTACGACGCCTTGCGCGAGTATACATCCAGCGGCACCAAATGCTGCGATCCGTGGCTCCTCCCATTCTGCAATCGTTTTACTCCCGATGCAGGCGCGGGCATTCTCAGGGACCAAATCCGCTTCTGCCGCTGGGCCTACTCCTGGAATGACTACGACTTCATCATCTACGAAATTGGCTATCTAGATAGCTACGGGAACCTTGCAAAGCAGTTTTACATTCTGGCCCCCGCCGATGACAACGTCAAAGGCGTGCACCATGGGCAGGTTGATGCCTTGATCCTTGCCGCAGGAGCCTGGACCAAGACGCTGCACCAAGAAATCTACGTCTTTGACGATGCGAGCTGGTCCAAGTCGGCCGAAATGTTCAAGAGCGTGCAGGGGTTCTCGTGGGACGACGTGGTACAAGCTCCTTCTTTAAAGGTCAACCTGATGAAGGACGTGCTGTCCTTCTTCGACAACCGCGAGCTGTACGCCTCGATGCGAGTGCCGTGGAAGCGCGGCGTCATCCTCCACGGCGTTCCGGGCAATGGCAAGACTCTCAGCATCAAGGCGCTTGTCAACTCGCTCGCGGCGCGACAACCGCCCATTCCCTCCCTCATTGTCAAGTCCTTTGACAGCATTTGCAATGGGTCAAAGTACGCCATGAGATCCATGTTTTCCCACGCTCGCGCCATGGCACCGTGTCTTCTCATCTTTGAGGACCTGGACAGCCTAGTAGAGGACAAGACGCGGAGCTACTTCTTCAACGAGGTGGACGGGCTGCAGTCCAACGAAGGCATCCTCATGGTCGGGTCGACAAACCATCTCGGCAACCTGGACGCTTCCATCACCAAGCGGCCCAGCCGCTTTGACCGAAAATTTCACTTCAAGCTGCCCGAGGAGCCGGAGCGGGTCGCCTACTGTCGACAGTGGGCGGGCAAATATGTTGATAAAGCTGCCGTCGACTTCCCAGACGAGCTGTGCCATGTTATCGCCAAACTCACCGAGGGGTTCAGCTTTGCTTACCTCAAGGAACTCTTTATCGCGTCGTTGCTTATTCTTGCTCGCGGCGATGAGGGAACTGGTATTGAGACGAATGGCCACAAGAACGGTACCGATGTTGATAGGGACTGCGTTAAAAGCCCCGCCGTTGTCGAAGTCGAGGCTGCTTTGACACAGGAGGATGGGGCCGATGTTGAGGAGCCTCGGACGAAAGACGAGCAGTCGGACAAGTCGACCCCGGAAAAGGCCAAGCGGGCCATGCCAGAGGTGGAAATTCCTGAGAGTCTGGCCGACAATGAGTTGCTAAAGGTCATCTTGCGGGAGGCAAGGCTGCTCTGGGACCAGATGGACAACTCTGAGGACGGGGATGAAGACAAGGGGACAGACACGGAAAATAAGTGACGAGGCGGTCAAGTGCCGAAAGGTAGTTGGAAATACTTTTCCTCTCTGCAAACAGTCGTTTTTATGTCTTATTTTGATGACGTGCCTGATGTGTTTTGTCCTTTGGTCATCTGGAGCTACACTGCTTTTGTGCCCTTTCGGTCCAGCAGCGCCGTGAAGTGCGATTTGTCTGTGAGAGAGGGATACGATCCTAAATTGTTTTGTTCGAAAAGCTTTAATAATAGGTTATCCGGCTCTCTGGCTTCTGCAGCTGGAGCTCTCTTGAGCCATGTAGCAATGATGCCTCCACAGTCGTGTTCCTGCGCAAATTCTGGGGAGTTATCGTAGGAGAAATAGTGTAGGGGCACGACTCATAAGCGCCATGATCAGCCCAGAGTTATCAAGCAAAGCCGTGAGAGGAATCAGGTTCACCGTCTACACGAGGTTAAACAGGGGGGAAGATGGTGTTATGGCAGGTCCGCCTGAATCCAATACCATGGGCCGCTGCCTAATTTCGTTCCACAACGCTCCGTACTGACAAGAGTCAAGCGTTTAGGGCTGCATAGATGATCGCCAAGTTAGGGTTCAAATTGGCTCCGGTGCATCATGTTCCGCTATACTAGGCTGACGATTGCACAAAATGGCCGGTTGCGGTTGGACATGGAGTCCCAAATCCCTGGTTAGTCGTCAAACAGATATATACACTCTTCTATTTATTGTTCAACTGTTGATCAAAAACTGCATGACTCGCGTTAGGGTATCCTGATACAGGGATTCCGCCGTTTGAGGGGAAACTGTCCATCTCCAATGAACCCGGAATGTATGAACTGTGCAGGATCGCTAAGCCTCTTCACTACTGCTTTGTTGTAACCATAGCGCGAAACGAAATATAACTGCCCAAGTTGTTGCATAAAACGCGTCGTAGATATTTTATCTCTTGCCCATGCTCTCGAAACTACAGCGCTCATACAGCACGCGACGATTGGACAATTGCACAATGGAAAACGTTCAATTCGCTCAATTTAATGTGAGTTGATCCTTTTTGCACTCTGATCCTTGGATAACTCATCCTCAGCGCATAGGAAAAGGCATCTCCTCACTTTGCTCCCCGGCCGAAACCTCGGCCTATCCCTACCCCCTCTGAAGCCATTCAGCTTCCGGGTTACGGCCTGCCCTTGAATTACCTTCCACCTCAGAGAGACCGGTTCCCCGTGCTCATGGGCGACCATAACAAGGATTGGAAAGCAACAACTTTGCTCATTCGCCAAGTGTGCATGCTAAGTTCATGGAGGACATTACGAACAAGCCCGAGTGGTGGCGCAAAGTTCGCGACCCCAATATCGCGGCGAGATGGAAGCAGGAGGTTCTGGGCTTAAACTGGGCAGAATACAGGAAACATGGAGACTTTACATACAAGAACATGGCAGAGATGGTGAGCCGGCAATTATCCACTTAGCACCCCGAGCATCGGACTGAGTAAATATACCAAGCATCTTGGCTAACTCCCGAGATTGTAGTGTATCCGGGAGCTTTGTAAAAAGGCGGCTTTATACGAAGAAACAAGCTTGATTCCAGTCATGGATCACTCGACCTGTGTCGCCAAGTCCGACAAGCTCGTCTCCGACGACTTGACGGAGCGGCTCAAAACGGCGGTCAGGTCTCTTGAGCATGTGGCAGACAGCGACAAGGATTGGCACCCGGAAAGCGACGGCAAGGTCCTCGACTTGGTGCACCCGTCACTCTTTCCGCTACTATACGGCCGTTCTCGCATCATGCGGCAGCTGGAGGCGACAATCGACTGGCGCGGAGCACCAATAGAAGTCGTGTCGCCCAGATTTCAGTGGTTGCCATGCGACGTTGTCATTGACGAAAATGGTCGGGCCACCATTGAGAGTTACATTAACAACCTGCACCCAAAGGACCACGCTGGTTTGTATTCCGTTATAGAGCAGTTTATTCAAAAGTCCCTGCCAGCCTGGGATCTAATCTACCGTTGGGTAAAGAGGTTCCCTGTGCAGCGTCTGACAGCTCGGAAAGTTGGTCGGGGCGTTTCGCGACCTGACGTCGTCCCTGACGAGGCAGCGAAACAGAGTGAGGAGGATGATGATGATGGCGAGGAACACCAAGATCAAGGATTAGATGGCGACACTCTGGGCCAACCTTGTAGCGAAGAAATCGAGGACGCAAAAAAGAAATACCACACCTCTGATGATGAGAATAGTGACGAGTCCGGAAATCCAGATGATGTTGATTCCGACGGTGAGGATTATGATGATGACGATGATTTGGAACCCAAGCTGGAATTGTATAGAAGACGACATTAATAAAGCCTCTCTCTACTTCAGACTCTCAGGGAAACACGTCGGACCCTCGAGATTCTTCAATCGCACTCCTCGCATCCAAGTTATCGTGAAACTAGCCAAGTTCACCTCACACCCGACAAACCATCCTACGACGGCGGCTCGTGGCATATTGAGGGCCAACTGAACGAGCACATTTGTGCGACGACTCTGTTCTATTATGACTGCCACAACATCACCGAATCCCGGCTTGCATTCCGTACGCCCGGTAACACGGAGAACCTGAGCCAGCGGCTAAAGTATCCACAAAACGACAAGGCGTCCATCGAGCGAGTAGTTATTTGCAATCCGCAGCGGCTTCGACACTCTCCAAGACGTGGGAAGCGTACTCACGCGCCCTGGGCGGTCGCTGTTCTTTTCAAACTTGTGCCAACACCGAGTGCAGCCCTTCAAGTTAGAGGACCCAACCAAGCCGGGACACAGGAAGATTCTCGCACTGTTCCTGGTTGACCCAGCTATACCGGTAATTTCAACGGCCAATGTACCCCCTCAACAAAAGCATTGGTACACTAGTGGGGGCCAGAGCGAAGCGGTGGCTACTGTTCTTCAGAATATGAATTCGATAATGGAGTTGGGTGAGGCGAAGAAACTGAGAGAGGAGCTCATGGCCGAGAGGACTGTTTTGCAGCAGAATGTGGAAGGTGAACTAAAGCAAGTCGAATGGGGCTTTTGCGAACATTGAGGCGTTTAAAGCTGCTCTCTTTGGCATCTTTCCCTTCGCCGCTGTCTACACCAGATTAGGTTTGAAGACATGATTGTTTTAGTTGGTATATATGCTAAGGCTATTGGGGAACGGTATCAGGTCGGACAAGATAAAACGGTTGCCACAGACATTTCTTGGCAAACCCATCATCTTCGCGCACGGCTTCTTCGTCTGTTGGTTCAATGAGCAATAACTGATGAGCCGTCGCACTCGCCACTGTGTCATTCGCCCACGGGCGTCTTGTACAGGAAGGCGAGCTTCGTTAGAAGGTGCGTGCTATGCGCAGCATTTCCGTCGGCGAATACAAGTCGGGCCATGTTGTGAGTCGTCCGCCGCCTTGGTCATGTTGGAGCAGAGACGGGGTGAGGAGCTACAGCTAAATGGAATATCTCCTACTATCAGCTTGAATTCAATTAATGAGGACCGCTAAGGAACTAAAAATAATAATTTTTAGTAACTACCTAGGTACATGCATTAAAGCAGCTACTTTGGAACCCTTCTAGAATGGAACGTACGAAGGTGGTGATGAACGTTTTGTTCTAGGCTGAAACGGGTCTGGAGCAACACCAGTCCCGATGAATTGCCCAACTCAAAGCTCCCTGGTTCAGACTCGGGCAAGCAACCGATTTGCGACTCAGGCGTGTGTTTGGCAGGCCTCCAACCAGCTCCACAGCGTGCAATTAGCAACTCATGTGTTCAGGGATCTCGTGCGGTCAAACAGCAGGAGCGTTTCGGAGACGCGCGTGGCATCATCAATGCCTCCCGTCAAGGCTGGAAACGTTGGTTAAGCTTGATTCAGTTTGTGCCACGCATCGTCTGCTTTGGTTTTGTCTTCGTTTGCGGCCAAAAAATTGGTGGTGGAGGAGTGAGGAAAAGCGCACTGAGCTCGAGGGCAGCTCCCGTGTCACATGGAGCCGGACTGGAACTGGAAGGAGCGACCCTTCGTCTTGGCCACGACACCAACTCGGATCGCAATTTTTTCCTCCATCGCATGCCTCACTCCATACCATTCCATTTCGTCCTTTGTTTTTACTGACCTATCTTTAGCTCCAACGGCTGCCGCTCGGCACAGCCTCAGTGCTGCTTGGCACACCCAGTCACTGCCACGCAGCTCACAGCCTCAAGCCTTATTGCAACGGTGGACCTCAGCATCCAGGCTACGTATTCCGGCTTTGCACCCGCAGCTCTTCTGAATCACACTTCCTCCATGCGCACCCCAGAGGTGCTCGCCAGGCGACCGAGGCTATAACCTCTCCTCCTGTTTCGCCTTGAACTTGCCATCTATTCTCAAGACGTCTGCTTCAGCTGGGACTGACGGCGCAACCTTCAATCGTACCCCGCTGGGAGCAACCGCTTCGAGTGACGGCAATCCTCGGCACTTCGGGCACGCTCGCCATGAGCGGTTTCGATTCTGTGGGCACGCTGCTGGCTGACATTGCAAATCTTCTTCTTGAAGGACTGCGGATATTCAGTCTCGCCGACAAGAGGCATTGGCGTCAGGACGAGCACGAGCAGGTCAAGGCACTGGAGGAAGCTCTGAACGAGGCCAAGAAGGACTTCCAGGAGCTATGTCCGTTAGTCAACGGACAGTCTCAATACGAGCATGATCGAAAATGTATGTGACCTTTTGCTGGAGAAGGCTGTGTCAATCAGAAGACGTCGCTGACGGGCAATGCTAACGTACTCAGACGAGACGTTGCAAGAGCTGAGGCTCCTCCGTGACAAGTTTCGTGCTCATGTCCAGCTCCTTAGGGACTGGAGTCGGTCGGGCGGTCCAATTAATCCTGTATGGGTACGAGAAACGCATTCTCTTCAACGAGACTTACACCGAGCACAGTGCCGAGCAGCCAGGCGTGTGTTTACATCCTCTCAGGAGTCCTCGCAAAGATGTCTGGGCGCTTTTCTGGTGCGGCGCACTCAGGCGAAAATTGCAGTCAAGCCGAATCGGCAACTGTCAGAGGCCGACGATCAAAGGCGCCAGTTGGAAGAGCTAGGCGCATGCACAAAAATCGGATCGTTTGATCGATTTGGGGAAGAGGACATGGTTTTCATTTGCGACTTTTGCGACGGCCACTTGGTATGGGAAGATCTCGAAAACGTCCCGACCCAACGAACAGCGGCATCTTTGCCGAGATGGCGAGGAAGTAGCCGGCATTGGCAAGCTACCGGCACAAGTTCATCGGGCCCACAGGAAAAGCTGGTGATATTCCCGCCGATAGCGGTTGCCAACCATTTGGCCCCGTTGCACGGCGACTGGCAGGCAAGACTACTGTGTCCTTTTTGCGAAGACGAAGCCAAAAAGCCGCAGGACGAGGATGATGAGGAAGAATTGTACAAGCCGAACGACGAGTTTGAAGACGTAGCGTCGTTACAGGAACACCTGGAGTGGCAGCACGCCGAGGTTGTTCCCAGTGGGCAACAGTCAGGTAATTGCGCGGTCATGTAGCCGGTGAAGCAAAAAGATGTGAAGATATGTGCAGAGCTGGCATTTGATTCGGAGTTTTGGGGAACTTGGGCATGGATACCATTATGACTTTATGATTGAATAGCATTAAGAATAGTATACATATACGCCAAGTCTTGTACTGTGCTGTGTACGCGTCTGGCATTGTCCATGAACGCCCCATGACATCTCCCAGGCAATGCACATGTCTGTTTCTTCCTTTTTTCCCTGCCTTCATCTCGAACCTTGTTTCCCCCCCCGTCCGTTTACTTTTAGAAAAACCTCATCCATACAAACAGCAAGACAAAGAGTCCCAGCCCGGCAAACGGGCCATACTGCTTCAGCAACAAATCCCAGTTGATCCTCACCGCGGCCCTTCTGTACCTCTTGCTATCGTCTCTCAGCCGACTACTTATCTCCCCCATCCTGTCCAAACTATCCCCCCGATAGAGCAAGTCTTCGATGTTCTTTGTCATGACTTTGGTCACATCCCTCAGCTCGTCGTTCACTTTATCCAGATTCTGAGCGGCCCTGGCATCCGCATACGTCGCCATCGTTTTGGTAATGAAGCTGTCAAAGTCCATGTAGGCATATGGGCGCAGCGAAGGAGAGTGCAACTGCTGCAGCGAGTGGGTGGTGAGGAATTCGCGGGACAGGTCGGCGAGGTATGTGAAGGCCAGCTTGCGCGGGTAGCTGGAGTCGCAGATGCAGAGGAAGACGATGTCGCTGTCGATGAGGTAGTGGATCGCGTGAGGGGGGGATTCGATGGACGCCTGGGGCGTGGAGTTGCGCGTTAGGGTGCGTAGAATTTGGCGGACTTGCGACTTGAGGGATGTGACAGCCGGGGGTTCGGGGGAGTCGTCGACGGAGGCGCAGAGCATGAGGCCTGGGTTGGTTTTTTTGTTAGTTTCTGCGTAGGCGCTTAGGAAGGGGGGGTAGAGTAGCGGCTGGGGAGGGGGAGCATGGGGGGTATGTACCGTCCAGCCGTGATATTTGGGTGGAGAGAATCATTTTGGCGGCGGTGGTGGAAAGCTGGTGTTGCTTTCTGGGGCAGAGTGGAATCGTGCCGAGAGTTGATGATGTGGTTGCTGGTGTTGCTGGTGTTGAAGCTGAGACGTGGTCCGAGTGGGCCAATCAGGGGAGCGCCACATTGCAGATTGCCATTTGACGCCACGGCAGCAACTATTGCCTAATTGGTCGCGGGGAAGCACTCAACTCAACTCTCGGGGAAACGTAGAGGGGGCACTCCCAGACTCTTCAACAACTGTGGGCTTTTTGTTTCTTTTCCTTTTTGACTCTTAGGGGCGATACGGCACAGGACATGCAGACTGTGAGGTGGTCGAGGGAAATTTGTGTTACAGGGCTGCGTACGTATGCACCATGCCTCGCAGAGTTTTGTCGCATTAAAAAAAATACCCAAAAATAGGCGTGGCCACGCCACGGTATTTTGTGTTATACCCCCTTATATCCCGTGCGACAAGTTTCCCCCTGGCCCCCAATTCCTTTTTCCTTTTCTGGTCATTTCCATGTTGCTAATGTGTTTTCAAGTAGTTGCCGCCAAATGGCAAGGCGAGATCTTCCGTTCTTCCCACACCATCTCCATGACCTCGGGATCTTGTATCGTCCCTCGGTCGATTTGCCATGAGTTTTCCTTTCTAGAAGTGATGGACACTGGTCGTCTTTATGCCGGGGGCGCCTCATGCAGGGGCACGGCACCACCATCCAACGCTTCAGATATGAATGTGTCTGAGTAAAAGTCGCAAAGATACAAAGCATGCCGGATGGTGAAAATTTTTACGAGACCGTTCTCGCTATTTCGACGAATTAACCTGTGCATTGGCCATGCGATTCTTTGTTGAAAAGGGACTCCTCGGGCCTTTCCTTCATGGTTTCTTGCCATGTTTCTTACACATTTCTCCATACTCTAGGGTTGCAACCCACGCCGTACTTGGTAGTAGAACTGACTGGCGCGTTCTTCCACCAGAAGGCTGCCAGCATCGAATCGAGCCAAGTGGAAAACCGTCTCTCTTTACCAGTTATGGAGTATGCTAGCCTTCACATAGCTACATTTGGTAAGACAAAACCGCCGCTTTACTGGCCTTTTGGTTTTGCTCATCGAGCCGTCAACAGTCCTGGCCCTCGCTTTTCCCACTCCAGGACCTCATACGTCTGCGTGGTAAAAGTCAACTGGGATAGGCTTGGTACCTGTGAGACGCAAGAGGTCAATAACTACCTATCACTTCGATGCCTCTCTGCCAGAGGCGATGGCTCCTCGCCTTCACTGGACATGGACTGCTTCCATGTGAACAGGAGCTCGATAGATGATGGTGCCAAATCGGTCTTGCCGTCCCGGCTGCGATAGTCTGGATCTGATTGTGACCGTCTTGGCTAGCAAATTACCGGGTCGATCGCTAGTAACAAATCCGAGGTTATCTCGATTGGCTCAAACGGTCAGAAAAAGGAAAATTGTGTTGGTCCTCCGCCTGACTGCAGCACAGATACCATAGCTGTGAGCAGCATCACGACAAGCACCAGGACGACGCAAGATGCCACCACGCCCACTTCTGCCTCTTCTGTGGTGTTTATCGGTACCAAGGCATGACGGCCTTGTTCCGCCGCATATCCGATGATACTCAGGGTTATAACTATGTGAAACCATGGAAGGTTTATCTATGGGATGCAGGCAGTCCGCAGATATTTGCGCCACTTTGAGGGCAATGATGACGTATGGGCTGGATTGGTGGATTAATCAACCATCTGCAAGTTCATTGGGGGGGTTTCAATGACATATTCCTCCTTGAAAACCACAAAGGCCATATACTGAACATGGAGTCAGAGTAATGATCAAATATCCCATGAAAACATCACGGATCTGCCTAAAGAAAGTTGGTGAAAATCCAGGCAGCTTAGACGTCTCGCTCCCTTTGTGGCATAAACGTGCTACGTGGTTTGCTATCTTTCTCGGTGTACATCAGCTCATTCCAGAGCCACTTTGTGAGCCTAACGGACCCAGAATTTCACGGCAGAGCCCTCCTGATTACCATCCTCCTTCTGGGCTGAAGCATCCTCCTCGATGGGTACGTCTTCAAACTGGTCCAGATTCTTGGCCGGCTTGTCTTATCATCAAGCATCTCGGCGCACTTGATGAAGAGCTTCCCCTTGGTTGTCCTCTCCTTGCTGAATAGGCTCTTCCTCTTATGTCGGTACTTGTTGACGCGGAATCCTACCACGACATCGGTGGGTTGAAACCCGAGAGACTGGCCTTTTTCGGCGTTCACATTTCCCTGGCTTCCGCCCCCGACTGGAGCCTATGGCATGTTGACTCCAACTCTGGTATCAGCGTCGGCCTTCCGCACTGCCTCGCTGCCAAAGTGTAGGTTCGTTGCCACCTTTAGCCCCGTAATGATGTAGACCTCCTTCGTGCAGGCCGAGCCCACGGTGTAGTCGTGGACGGGCATGGAGGCCAAACACTTGGACACCCAGTCATCGGTCGGGTCGAAGTACGTGGTCAGGATGCTGTCGCAGGAGAAGGTCTCCTCATTGCTCGACTCGCCGCCCACGCTGGCAACGCCACCGACACATCTCAGTCCCAGACTACGGTGCCGAGTTCGAGGGCCGCACCGACGGCGGCGATGTTGAAGTGGGGGACGACGTGGTAGTTGAAGATCCGGGCCTTGGAGGACGCCGTGGTCGAGACTGGAGATGTCAACTGGATAGCGGTAGCCTGGTTGGCATCTGGGCCAGTGTTATTCGGGGATTGGAGTAAGACGCAGTAAGGATTTTTGATGGTTTACTGCATATCTGGCTGTGCCAGTGTTGCGTTGAAGCGGCTTCTTGGATCACGAGAATAAAGCCCGACTCCAAAGGGTAACAAGCTGTGCAATTATTGGATGGCGAGGAGGCTGGGAGATAGGAAGGGGGAATGCTACAATACTGCGCCCATTAGAGATTCTCGTAATCAACAGACGCTGACGCTGAGAGAATTCAAAGAACCTACTAGGATGGTGCATATAAGGATGGCGTATGCAATAAATTATAGACGACTGCATACCCTGCATCACGCATGCCGCTCTCGCTTTTAGCTAAGAGCATCGGTAGCGAGGCTATGCCGATGAAGCTCAGCGCCAATCTAACTGGTCATTTCGCAATACCGGATGACATACAGTATAGCCTCTTCTGCGTTTAGATGAGATTCAGATCCGATTTTCTCCAGAATTTTCCCAGCTAATCTTTTGCTCTAGAGTGCTGAGCGTCGTTCTGAGTACGCTCCGAAACGTCTTCCTCGGCTCCCCCCTAGGAACAACCATTATCGCCCCTGGCGCACTGCGCTGGTGGAGTTCCACAATAGTCTTTTCATCTGCTTGCGTGAGGCTGACGGTGCTGAAATGCCTGGCAAGTCATGGAATCGTTTCCGATCGAGTTGGGGCAGGGTGACGCAGATAAGGGTTCCAAGAAGAAGAAGGCTCGTAAGAGCACCGGTTCCCATACCGCGGCCTAGTTGTCTCGCGCCAAGTTTCTTCGTCTAGGGTCCGACGTGGCCCAGGAGGTTTGGCCTGTCCTGGAATGATACTGGTTCGGATGCTTTGTTGTTGTGTTTCGGTCTTGGTCTAACTTGGGCCTGTTTCTTTTAATGTTTGTTTTTTCTGTCTCGGCGCCTGTTTCCGGCGGGGTAACGGCCCCTTCTGCCTTGTGCGGAGGTTGTGTGTCTTCAGGTTTTTCCTGCCCTCTGGATTCGTTCACAGGCTTAGATCCCCTGGTTCGAGCTCCCCATCTATGCCTTACTAATTGACATCTGTTTCTTGCGCTTTTCTTGGTCGACCTCTCCTTCGGGGTTCTTGCTTCCGGCACCCCCTCTTCCGTGATACCGTCCTTGTATTGCAGAAGCATCAATTTGTCCTATACCATCGTCTTCAAGGTGACAGATCATTGTCACAGCTTATTCTCATGCAAAGCCCAACGCGGCCTTTGCGGCAGTTTATCATTTGCCGCTGCTCCTCAAAGTCAGAAAAGCCAAGCCCATGACGCCGTCTACTACCGAGTTACTTGTGATTCCAAATGCACCATGGCGATTTTCGCTGCGAGATTCGAATGTTGCTGACCTATTACTTTTCGACCCCTTGTTTCTCTCCAGCCTCAACCCCGAGTATTGTACCGCACCATTCTGCTCTAGCCCTAAGGTTTGGGAAAATCAGGGTTTTGGATTGGTTTTTATGATTCTTGTAATAGGTTTCGTGATTTATCTCGCAGACATTCTCATCTTTAGTAGGACTATTGATAGTTTCGTGTTTTCGACAATATGGGCGGCAGCAGAGTAGGCAGGTTTTGGAAAGTCCTTCTTGCACCAGACTTGGCTTTCGGGCTCTCATCGAAAGGCATACATGACAGTCAATCATAATGGGCAATGAGAATTAACTTGGACTCATGGGGGCAGACGCTCATAGATGGGAATTGGTAGAGGACGGGTTCATGGCAAGGCCAAGTTGATGCGTATGGCAATGAGCGTCTCTGTCACACGGTTAGGCCGCAAAAAAGGCGTTGGGCCAGCAAAGGTTACACAACAACAAAGAAGGTATCACGAGACCTGTGTTGGGGCTTTAGGCCAGAGCTGCCTCGGGCCTCTAACCCTCACCGACTTCTTGTATTCATGGAGACCCCTGGTCCCTTAATGCCTCTTGTAATACCCAGGGCCTAAGTACGGCTAAAACATAGTATTAGTGGATATTCTTTTTTTAGCTTATTTTTTTTTTCATAATCTAATAACAATTTAACGTATATTGTCACTCTAACATATACACTACATAGGGAAATGTCTTAGGCCTACGAAAGAGCTCCATGCTCATAACCATACTGTTGTCCCCTCTTCGTCATAATAGTACTCTCTCTGATATTTGGGGTGCAAGTACACGGCAGCACTGTTCTCCAAATAGCGGTAGATCGCCCCTGTTGTTGGATCTTGTTGGTATCCCGCCTTATCGGAAGCTTTAGCCTTCCCCGTAGCCTTGTCGCTGCTACTGCCACGGCTAGGGGAGCTTTGTCCGCCACGGGAACTGGACTGATTCGAGCTGCTGGCCTCGTTTTGCGCCTTCCATTGCTGCACGTACTGTGGGTTAAGCCAATATGCATTATCTCCTAGTTCTTCGGCTGTAGCGGAAGGCATCTGCAAGGATGGGAACCCTGATTTCGACGCTATTACTGTTCCGTCAGGATACACATGTAGCGAGAAGCCAGATCCCTTGAAGTCCTTTTTCTTGCGAAAGGCTACAGATGCGTGGAACGGATCATTCGTCTTTGGTGATGCATGAGGATCTCCACTACGAACACGAATATTAGTCGTAACACGACTTGGTCAATTAATAAAGGGTCTTACTGAAATTTCGCGTAAGGTGTCTTGTGCACTTTCAGTTCCGAATGGTGCTCCTCCACATATGCGACATACTGATCGACGATTCTCCGCACCCACGGTACATTTTTTCCTGTGAACTTTGCGCGGAATCTGGCCAAAGTAGACTTCATATTGATCAGGGGAGGGGAGAAAGAGAAAGAGAGTGTGTATATAAGACGTATTTTGAAGTACAAACAATGGCTTGAGATTCTGATTAATGGCAGGATGGAATGCAATTCCCTTCCAAGGCAGAGAATTCACACCTTTTTATACCCAATACATGGGGAATCATTATGCTGGGTATTGACACTACCTAAGCCCCTGGTCGGAGGCACATTGACCCAAAAGACTGTTAGCACATGGTTCTGGCAGGTCTCGAGTGGCCACATGTCTCAATTGCAGCTTCCGCTGGTCCAATAATATATCTACATGGCTCAGGTAGAAAGCGCTTGCTGTTTGATACAGCCTGTCGGTAGCCAATTTTAGTGGCAGGGGATTCGCGTTGGCCACAATATCTAATTTTGGTAACGCGACATCAAGGATCAGTGAAAATAATTAATTGGCCAGCTCCAAGCGCCCGCTGGAGATTGGTCCTCGTTACCTCAGGCACCAACACCCACAAACCTGTGTGTGATTGGTGCAACAAGCCTCACGTGACTACTCTTGACACCCATGCCAGATCGGCCAACACAATAGGAGGCAGATGAAGACACTGACCACAAAATTCAGCTTCACTCCCGCTTCTTGAGCATGTTTGGTGCACGGCTCATTGCTGAGCTGCTACTTCCATGCTTTAAGAAAGGCCCCAAAATGGGAGGCTTTGGGAGACGGCCCTTTTCACTTTCGGCAAAAAGACCAGAGGCCTATATCCTCCCTGAGCCGATTGACGAGGAGCTGCTCCCGAATGGTCGCTTGAAGTATTTTCATCCAACCCAGCCCGGCCAGATTCTTGACGGCAGATTCAAGACGATTGCAAAACTCGGGTTCGGGTCTGGATCCACTGTCTGGTTGGCAGAAAATCTAGCGTGGTGAGAACACCCCAAAACCCGCCGCCACGACATGAATCTAACCTTCAAATCAGTAAAAGATGGACCAAGTCGTCAGGTCCTCGCTATGTTAGCATCAAAATATCTGCTCTGGATACAAATGCTGCTGATGAGATGAGATGGATGAAGCTTATCTCAAATGCCAATCCATCACACGAAGGTCTCTCACATATTCGGACACCGATTGATGTGTTCGACCTACAAGGTGAATGTGGGACGCACACTTGTCTAGTGTTTGAGCCCATGAGAGAGACTCTTTTCCAGTTCCAACAAAGACTTCCACGACAAAGACTAGGGCCTCCATTATTTAAAGCCTATATGTTTTGCCTTCTTCAAGCCTTGGATTACTTGCATACGGAGTGCCGTCTGATCCATACAGGTTCGGTTTTGCATCTGCATCTTATTTATGTCGCTAACCGCAATGCCAGACATCAAGGACGATAATATCATGGTCACACTTGAGGATGACTCTGTTTTAAAAGATCTTGTACAATACTACAAGAACCATTCCCAGCCTAAGCATGTCAGAAACGAAGACGGACGTGTGACGTATTTGTCACATGATGAACTTGGTGGCCTTCGTGGCACTACTATCCTACCCCGGCTTGCTGACTTCAATCTCTGCTTCCCTGGACTACCCGATAATCGAGGCCATTTATCTCCCATTCAATCTCACCGGTATCGTGCCCCAGAGGTGTTTCTTGGTTGTCCGTGGTCATACAGTGCTGATATATGGAATCTCGGCTTAATGGTAACTCAGGACCCTTTAGTAAATTGACTTTCACATATGTCTGTATACTTATTCTAACCGCAACAGATGTGGAATCTATTAGAAGATACTAGCCTGTTTAACCGGCCTGCTGGTGAGGACGGTGAATATGATGCGCATGTTCATCTTGCTCAAATGATCTCCATCTTGGGAAATCCCCCCGAGGTTCTAATACGAAGAGAACGAATGTGTCGTAGAGCTAACCTCGGTAAGACGGTTATTAACCAGAAGGGTAAAGAGTGCGGAACTATGAACGAGTTTTGGGGTGGTCCCTTTTTTGACAAAGACGGTACGTCGCAAGGCCACACAACTACATTACAGCCCTAACTGATCGTCATATGACAGGCTGCATTATCCGCAAGGACTTGGTCGAAGCAGGGAAGAATCTATCCGATACAGTGACTGAGCTGGTTGGGGAGGAGAAGGAGCAGTTTCTAGACTTTGCTGCCAGTATGTTGCAGTGGCTGCCCGAGAAAAGGAAGACTGCAAAAGAGCTGCTCGAACATCCCTTTCTTGACACTTTGAAGATTTCATGAATGAGGAAATAAATGGTGAGCCGGGACCATTAAGGGACAAAAAAGGAGCATTTTCCACTACCGTCTTGCTGAACTTGACAATCTGCAGCATTGGCCAAGACGGCCAGCCTGTGCTAGTCACTTTTGTGTTGTGGAATTGAAGATTGCACTAGTACTTTGCAGTTCTTCGCTCACTGATGTAAACGGGACTGGCGTATGGTATGTTCCTATGTTGAAGCTTGGCTCATCTTGTCTCACACTCAAGTCATGTCAATATTGCGGAGGCAGACTAGACTTGATGAAAGACGCCCTTTTGTCTCTCCACTGCGGCTGTTATACTAGCAGCACACTTTCGCGACTCAGTCACGTATGCTACAATCACCAATACAGTAGCATTGACCCGTACCTTCAAATTAACGGCACCAAAACTGAATGGCGTGCGAAACTGTCGCGCCTTCCCGTCGGGCAAGGCACCTTGTGCGATTTTCCACCGTGATCCAAGCAAGAGTTGATATGAACTGTGCGAAACTAACAGGGATTGCGAAAGCTGTGAACAATTTTGGTCTCGCCAAACCTCTCTATAAACTACACTCCTCGAGTTCAGGGAACACTAGCTTTCAATGCTGACATCGTCGCACGATCTTCTAATGGAGACGCTGTCCTTCTACTTGCGATAAGTTACCTCTAGCGAGAAGAAGCGGTTTCTCCGGCTACCATTCTGGTCTGGCCAGCAGGCCAATTTGTGGTCGTTTTGCGAATGCAAGTATTGGTGAACTGTGCTCAGACTGACACGCATCACCAATCCTCTAGCATGTGTAATTGACAGTCCAAAGTTTTTTTTTCCCGGTGCTCAAGCACCTTGGATAGTTAGAAAGCGCATTTTATTTTAGTTTATACTTTTATTAAAAATAATAAAAAATAACCTCTTAAATCGCGATTGTGGCCCTTTACCTCGGTATCTCGTAGGTGCTATACTTTCTCTCTAACACACGTTAGATCGCGCTGTTGGAACCATCGAATCACCCCCAACGACCTTAGCGACGCTATAGGTAGCATTCTGTCACAAGATACTCTTCAATGCGTCTTTCGCTATGGGTCACTCAACGTTCACCTTAAATTAGTAATATATTTCTCTGTTGCTCAACAAGCCGATGGCCTGCGCCTCAAACTTCGAAACCGAACCTGAAGCCAGAACTCACTCGAGGCTCACTGAAGAATTTAAAATAAAAGCAGAACAGAATATGCAGCTGATTCATCTAACAGAGTTGAGCATAGAATATTGGATATCTGAGGCGTTGGTCTCAGGTTGAGACTCTCAGCCATTTCGAGGGTCAATAGGCAGGTTACCGCCCTGCATCCTTTTTTCGATTGCAAAAGCCTCCGAACAGACGAGTTCGACGTGCGATGGGGGAAGTAGCACGGGAGATGCGCCGACCGCTACTCTGCCCGTGGTGCGTCACCTAAGGTACAAGATGCACTACGCCGTTGCAGAAGTGGCTCGGCTTGTGGAAACATGGACTGCTTTCAATTAGTATCTAACGAGCTGCCGATCTGGCTCTTATCAAACAGTGACACGTTGGCGCTTGATGACATTTACACGGCCGAAACTGACAAGCGGAGTTGGGCTGGTTCAATGATAGCTACTTCGGGTTTTGACGCTCGGCAGGGTGTCAGCAGTGTCAGGTAGGCATGATAATATTTTTATTAACTCTTAAGACCTTGAGATGGATTTCCCACTCCGGTTCGTGACCAGGGTACTCAACCATTCGGCCAGGAGACAACGCTACGATCTTCCAGCTTTTGTGGCCAACAAGTTCCATATCCAATCCTTGATGATCTGGCTGGAAAACGGCCGGAATCTGGACCTCTGCAGCAGGCGTCTTCCTGGCCGTTGGGTTGTTCTCGGTCCTGGTAGGATTAATCCGTGTATGCATTGGTCCGCCTGTCTTAACGTCCTGTATGAGACAACATGTTTTCTTGGCAAAGAGCGGAAAGGTTGAATTTTCAATGCCTCAAGGATATCTGGCTACGGGCTACAAGGTAGCAAGAGTGACATTAGGGCGTCTAGGGCTTCCGAAGAGAAGAACAGTGGAGGGCAGGCAATTTATCTATCCGCGTCTAGGAGAGCCTTGATAGGTTGAATGGTTCTTGGAGCTTTTCAGATGTACAAGGACAAAAAGTAATATGGGTAAAACTCAAGTCAATTTATAGCTATGCCTTTCTCTTATCTCAATAATAACGATTCTTAACACTCTTTGCTTTTAAAAAAATATGCTTCAATTGGGAAGTAATTATACCCCCTTTTATTCTGTTAATAATGGCGTTATTCCCACGAATTCCACCACGCTATTCTATATCGTAGAAAATAAAATTCGTGTCTCGGGACTAGCTAATAGTATTGAAGAGTTAAGGAAGCTTTCAATGTTTACTATAAATTATAAAAGCTCTCCTGAATAACGTTAACATTATCTTTAACCCAGGTCTAGTGGGACTCAAACCCAAATATCCAAGGACCGATGAGAGGGTTGCGAGTGCTCAGAACCGCGAGCTTGACGCTGCGTTGAGCGAAGTCTGTTTGGACAAGACAGAGCACAGCGAGCTCCCAATCGCGGTCATGAGTCTCGAACCCCTGAAAAGTTTAATGATGTACCGTCTGGAATGGCGAATATGACTGCCCAAATACACTGTAGGTAGCTTGGTGAATACGCTGAACTCATGGATTGAGGTTGATGCTTACCAAATTCTTAACTGCTTTCTTGCTTGAATGGGATAATAAGTGTCAGACAGGTGCCATTTCGAACGCACTTGGCGAAGGATAGCAAGCTTAGTTCCAGATGTGTGGTGCTGTATACACTAGGCTTGTCACACGGATTAGGTCGAGCAAGGATCAGAAGCCCTTTATTACACAATAGGATCACGAGAACTATGGGCGCACTAGGCACGGGCCGTTCCTTTCATGTATATAAGATGGTCCCCCCTCGTCTTATGGCTTGGGGAACCCGAGGACCTTTGACATCCTACAAGATTATCATTGAATTGAGCCCTTTTGCTTCAAGCCCTCTATTGAGCCTTTGTCACAAGGCTAAATTCGCTGCCTATCCACGCATATTCTCATCCTGAGGAAACCAGCACTTAGTACCCACTATACGTGCCGGTCCTCGTGTCATAAGACTAGATGATACGAGTAGCAATACTTTACGAATATGAGAGGTGTTTGCGGTTCCCGCAGGCCTAACCGGAATGCTTCCTGCGCAGTAAGTGCCTACTTTTGTGCATGGGTACGTAAAGGATCGCCGCTCGTCGAGTATTCGTCAAGTTCGGCTGGGGTCGTCCCCAGCAGTCTCTCCGCAGAAAGCAGAGTTTTCCTCCCTTGCCTAGGAAACTGATGAACTGTCGTGGAGCTGACTGTGCAACGCCTGCCCAAGTACGAAACGCGGGATCAAGTGTGGTACGCTTCGGAGCAGACCAACTAAATACTATAAATTCGCTTACAATATTAGACACTCAAATTAGAGTTGAACGTAATCTAAAAGAAGCTTATGAATATAAAATAGCCTTTATAATAAAACTCATAATTAAATATCTCAGGTTTTGGTGGCCCACACTCGTGTACCGGATTGTCGTGCCAATGCTTCCTTTGCCCTCGCACACAGCCAAATTTGCGTCATTGCGCGATTTGGTTAGGTTTAAGTCTTCTTAACAGCTTGCCATGTTAACTCCACAGATCCCGAAGTCCTAGATCCGTTTTCTCCGCAGTTGCTATACTGGAGGGAGCTGGTAATTGGATTACGAACCGCTTGGCCTGGGAGTGATGCGTATGCCGCTGAAACATGCTGATCAAGCTAACCAAAAATGGCAATGCCAATGACTTGAGAGACTATCATGCATCTATACATCAGTGTTGTGTACCCTGGGTTTATCCATCCAAAGTATGAGCCTGGTGCTGGGGAAGGTTGTCGTCACGTCGATATGCAGACATCTTCAAGAGGCTGTGTACATGCAAGTGTAACTGCCGTTGCCCCAATCTGGTCTCGATTGCTACGGAGTGTGTAGCATACTCAGCCCTTTTTTGGGAGTGATCGTCTTTCCGATGCTCTCGCGTGAAAAGAGCAGCTATCCAACCTGACCTCGATTGAAATGTAATCACTCGTGGCTGCCTCTTGCGGCCCGAGAGACGCAAGACACATGCATCAGACCACCCTGTACTCACTCGAAGAACACAAACGATAGGCCAGAGCGTAGGAGAAGCACCCGTGGTTTGGGAGGCGAATACTATTGTTGCTTCGCATTGTGACAAATGCTAGACAATACAAGGCGAGCCGGTTCGTGTTGCAGTTCGCGCACCAAATCATGAGGAATAATTCTTGCCCTGAGATAACTGACGTAGAAAATAGCCCCCATAAACACGACTCTCCCGCCAAAGGTATTTGATACGTCAAGCTGCAGACTGTGTATGGGCTGAATGCGGTGTAACTCTAGCCTAGGTCTTTGGAGTACACAGTCTGTGGCAGAATCTATTTGCCGATTTAACAAGTACACACTCCAATATTGGACAGCGTTATATAGCACGCCGAAAAACAGTCGGGTGCCCCGTGTAGTCAAATACTTTTTGCCTCCCACTGAAGTCGATCGGCCGCAGAATATGAAAGCTGTGCGGCCATGACCAAAAGTAACCCGAGCAGGCAACCATGAATGGTGAGGCAGCCCCGGTCAGCTTGCGATCTCTGCGGTCTTTACGTTCAACTATCCCGTTGGCTAAGAATAGGCTACGTCAGTTCATTATCAATGGTCAGAAACGCCGGAGATGGTGGTCGCTGCAAAGCACCGACTTGAGGAGCCAAGCAAGGCGACCTTGCACGGACATAAAACAGCCCTTCAACACGAGGGACTTGTCGAAGCAAGGGAAAATGGAGAAATTGATGCCATCCCACTATACAACAGACCATTATAAAGGCAGATTCACTATCCTTTCTTAGTCGTTACCTCCCGAAATCAAGTTATTAGGCTGTATGTGGAAGCTGCTCGCAGCCAGCAAGCCGGATTTGACCACTTTTTATACAGCTCCTAAAGTAGTACTAGCTAGTAAGCGGATAAACAAAAGATATAACCTGAAAAGTTCCTTTTATATTGTAATGCTACTAGCTTTATAACTAGCGATAATAGGGAGGAAAGACTCGATAGCCGAGGTGCTGCTCTCACGGACCCTCTTCATGGACAATCACTTTATCCATGTCACATCCAACCCTACTACTACCCTTGTACCGTAGGCCTATTTCTGCCATGATAGATCTTTGACTTACATACATAACGGGAGTACTAGGCATCATCACGGACTAAACTTGTTTCCAAATTCTGGAGCGGAGGGACTAGTTTTCCTTTGCCCAGTCTGGATCAATCTCGATGTCCTCAGCACCTACACACCCACTGAATCTCCCAGAAGCAACTTCATCTTCCAGAGCTTTGAATATCTTGGCTAGGTATAGCTTCTCACCGGGAATTCCAATACCCACAAATACCCACGCATTGTCCAGCATCAATCATTTCCTCAAAGCAGCTTCTGCCAAGCTTGGAGACGTCACCAGGACTGGCCTTGTAAATGTCTCCTGCGCGCTTCCTCCAGAACAACCACCTGGCGACGCTGAAGCCCTGCGTGATATTTGCATCGGTTACGAGCGGCCCTGGGGCATAAAAAGCGGCATCATCGGCGGCTGACGGTGGAGGACAATAGTTCTCGCTAAACATTTTCACGAACTTTGTCTTGCTGTACCTAAGCCACTCTTGGCACGCAGGGAGCAAATCTGCTAGAGTCTCAGATGGTAGCTCTGTTTCTAGCGCTCTGGCGAAGAGCATGAGTGCACAGCGAGATAGCTGCGGCGTGCCAATGCCGATAGCACAAAGCTGGCTTGTGAAGGCAGCGAAGCTTGCTCTCTCCGCGTCGGTAAGCTTCGCCGATTCTTTGACCCAAAAGTCGTAAAGGTCGTCGGCGAGGTAAGGAAGGTCGGTCCAGAGCCGCTGGCCGTTGGGCATGATGACGGATTCTTCCGACTTTTGATCTGCAGGCTCTCCTTCGCCCGTGTAAAGTGCCGAGCTCTCGCACTTCGAAGATTTGTGTGACGAGCCTGTCCAGCTCAGCACTGTCCGCTGGTTGGATCATGGCAGCATGGATGAACTCGTCCGAAGCATGGTGGAGAAATCCCTCAATGCTGATCAGGTCGTACGTGAGAGAGAAGTAGTTCATTCCAATGCGAAAGACATCATCTCGTAGACTGTGCCAAATTTGGCGAGCTTTCTGAGGGTCCCGTTGATACTCGCTGCGTTTCTCGGCGCGAGTTGTGAGCGGGATAGAGCAGCCGCCAGTCGGACACTCGGCAATTTTGTTAAGGAATAGCAGATGCAACAGAGATAGAAGCCCGTGTACGGAACATCCAGTCACCATATAATGCGAGTCTGTTACCTTGTGAATTGGTTAGATGGTGAAGGTTATGTACTGTATCGAGAGGGGAGCTACGTGCCTTATGGTTGCTTGGGCACACATGTCGGTAATATCGCAGAGTTGCTGTACGTAGTACAGCGATGTGAAATTACTGTCAAGAGGCAGAAGCAGAGCCACGCAGTCAGCAAAGCAAAGCGCGTCTGATGGTCCTCGATCTTCCCGCGCCGGACAACGCCTCGGCCGCACTGTCTCGTGCACAGAGACTTGTCGCTCTGCGTGCCTTTGTTCTATTTTGCCCTCACATGTCAGAATGCGTGAAGATCTGCCATGTCCAATGATGTCAACTGGTAGTTGCCGGCTGACTTGGCGAGGCCGATCGGCCGGCGGCCCGGGATATCGCTGTGGCTGTGGTGACATGTCAGGCATATCTAAACCTCATGAAGTCATTGGGGCCGAGTCATGCGCGCCTCCCTTGCACTTTCGAATGAATCATAAAGTACATCTCGCCATGGCTCGCGGGGTCGGTCTGCAAGATGTCAGCACAAACTGAGACTTCGAGAAGCAGGATGACCAACTCAACGATTACATGGCACGATGGAATTCGACTCCCCCTTTACAGACGGAGATGGCAGGCGGGCGTGGTGTGCCAGCGTCGTCGTCAATGGCCGCAGACAACCGACGGCGACATTGGTAGATCCGTGGACCAAGGACTAGTGCGAGAAGCATCTCAAGCCCCATGAGGCCAATTGGTATGTGGGTTAGTTATACAGTGACCCAAGCTACAAAGTTGATTGATATTGATCCAAGGAAGCTCTGTAAAGGACTCTGTCGGAGTACGCAGCAAGCCCAATGGATCAGCTACAACTACGCAAGTCAACCTTCTTAGGAGAAGCCACTGCCGAGTGTGTATTCATGACACCCTCCACAATGAAGAATCCGCCAGCTCAGGCATCCACTCGGTGCTGTGGGAGACGCTGGAGAACATGGCTCTTTGGCCAGAGGGCACCAAGTGTGTGAAGATCATCTGGGTCCTCGATGTGGCCGGCGGCGATGTAAATGCCGCGCAGGACAGGGACGAATATCGAATCCTTCTGGTGATTGCGAGGACGTTTAGGCAGGCTCATGACGGCTATTTCATCGACTACCATGCCAGCCTTGTCCAGAGCTCCCTTTTACGCATCGCCCTTTCCACGAGAGACAAAAGGCTACAGCCTCAATTTTCCATTGAAGTGATACGTCCCGGTACTTTCGACGAGTTCCAGAAACACATTCGTTGCCGGGGAACGTGTTGGTTCGACCTTGTTCATCTCGACGTACACGGGAAATTCATCTCTGATGACTCGGCTGCCAACTGCACTCGTCAACACAGCGCTTCCTCTCTCCGGTCTGCGGAGCGCTTCGACGCTCTCCTCGAGAAGAATAGGCTATCGAGAAGACAGGGCAACTTTTAAAGTGCAGTCAACGACGATTGCTTCGAGGGCGCCAACGTCAAAGACGTCGCGGTCTTGTTTCAAGAATATAAAGTCCCCATGGTGGCCTTGAGTTTTTGCTGGTCGTCATACGCTTGGGACAGCATGCTCGCCAATATGAGCCAGATATTGATCCAGCACGGCGTATCGTTTGTGTGTGCCATGTGCTCCGTGGTTCTCAAAACTACAGTACAGACATACTATTGCATTTTACACGGCGTATCTATAGAGGGAGAAAGCCTGCAGTCGTGGTGTTGATATGCTGGCTGGAATCGACTCGAGGCAAATGATTTTTGCTGCGGTCGGTTGACTTTCTTGAGGAGACGACGTTGAAAGAAGAAGCCTTGCGACGTTCAAGTATCCATTTTCCATGGCCTGTTGCGTCTCCGCCGATATCCAAAACACAGCTGAGAACTGGTCCTTGAATTCGCGGGCATAGCCCATTGCAAGCTCGGTCTTGCCGATTCCACCAGGGCCATGGAGCACAATTGTCGGGCACTAATGAGCATCAGATGAGTCTTTTCGGATCAACTCGTTAAGACGCTGTAGTTCCTCATCCTCCTTGGCGAAAGCCTTGCCTATTGCCAATGGTATATGATGGCACGACAAAACTATCGCTTTTGGCGTTTTCGGGCCGACCTTGGCCCCCGTTCGTCAGCCGCAAGGGTAACATTATTGGGACAGAAGACCTTGCTCTAAGGTAGCTCATTTTTCATCATCTTTCCAGTTGGAATCGACTATATGAGCAGCCTCCCCGCAGAGGCTGACAATCGCATCAGCAACTTGCCTATGGCTTTTTATTCGCACCAGTGAATTGCGTCAAATGGCAGTAGTTTTTGTCCTTGAACTCATAATGACCCTTCTTGGCCAGCGGACGGGCGACAATCTGATGATTGTCAGAACTCTCAAAAGCCGTCAAGTTGGGGCGAGAATGGCCAGCCATGACTTGACCTTCCAAACGAGTGGGTTGACTTTGCCTCGTAGAAGCACACCTGGTGGGAATACGGTTCCTTAGAGTCTTCCAGGGTTCCCATTTTCGCTAAAGTGTACCGGCACGACATGTCAAGTTTTCCAGAATGGCCCCGTCATCACCGCGCAAGTGTCGCACAATCTTTTCCAGTGTACCAGGCAGACTCGATGATGGGTCCTCGGGATACTCACACTCTAGATACGGAACCGCGAGGAAGACCACGCCGGCAGTGGAGAGGTGTATTGCGTACTCGTCTTTCTCATCTGAAATCTGCGAGGAAAAAATAAGAGCACCCTGAATGAGAATGCCGCCCAGGTTATGGCCAACAAGGATGATGGGTTTGTTTATATTCTTGTGCATCTTGGCCAGCTTGCGGAGGAACTGAGTGGCATGACGGTACAGTGTTCTCAGGGCAAGACTTCGACGGTCGGGAGCTTTATATCGTAACAGTACGACAGGACGGGAATTGCACCTCCGCCAGGTTATCTCTCGTCGGGAACAAGGTGCTGTCACTAAAGCAATGCTCGCCATGGCACGGCCAGCGTGAGGGTCCGATTCTACGGCGGCGACATGGGAGAGTATCCGGGAGTCCAGAGGGTTGGACAATCCGGGTATGGGGAGCAAATACCACGACACCGGCGAAAAGGCTCTAATTGCAAATCGGGAACAGGCCGCAGAAGAGGTGTAGACACAAGTGGCCTTGCTGCCCGTGGTAGACTCGCAACTGGCCAAGGGGACTCCCAAGAAACGTCACACCAGGCAGACGGTGCAATCGCAATAAAAAGGGGCTTCCAGAGAAACCAGTTGCTGCCGCGCCCGCACCTGCGACTGCAGCTGCAGACGGCGGTCTCATACTGCATGGGTTTGTGTAATCCGGCTTATGCGTTGTACCATAGATGGCTAAAGTTTGTTCTACGACTCGAGAAGTGCACGCAGAGAGTGCATATCCGCCGAAAATTAAATGAGCCTCGTCTTTGTCTTTATTCTGCAAGAGTTGCTCGGCCGACTCGTCTCGAGGTGACACACACGGCCGCTCTCTTATAAATTCCATGCCGCACCGGCTGCGACTTTGCATGGACTGTTTAACCGTAATGGCTTATGGTATCTGTGACTGTGCTTGCTGGGGTAAAAAGTCCATGTCTAGCCGTCAGACATTGGCAACCCGCCTCATTTTATCCAGCCCTTTGCTATAGCGCTGGCTAGGTACTCGCGGAGAACTTCCAGCTCCTTCTCGGCTAGGTTATAAATCGGTCCCTAAGGGGGTAATTGCCCTTCCTTTAATTCGATTACGTGGGTTCTGCCTAAGAGAGACGGGAGCACCATATACTTACGTGAATTACACAGACGTATTTGATAGCGTACGCGCGTCTTAGCTCCAGTCTCTCTCGGGCAGAACCCACGCGATTGAATTAGAGGAAGGGCAATCACCTCCTTGGAGACCGATTTATAACCTAGCCGAGAAGGAGCGGGAAGTTCTCCGCGAGTACTCCGTACCTAGCCAGCGCTATGGCAAAGGGCTACATAAGACGGTCAACAAGTCCGGCAGGGGCCTCTAATCCTTTTTGTGCCTAAGAAAGGGGGTCAACTTCGGCTGTGTGTAGATTATCGAGGCCTTAATAAGGTCACGACAAAAAACAAGGCCCCGTTACCCCTGATATCGGAAATACTCGACAGACTCAAAGGCGCGAAGATATATACTAAACTTGACCTGGAAGATGCGTATCATTGGCTACGTATCCGCGAGGGCGATGAGTGAAAAACCGTTTTCCGATGCCGGTACGGCCACTTCGAGTATTTGGTGATGCTTTTCGGGCTCGTCAACGCCCCGGCCACTTTCCAAGAGTACATTAACGATGCCCTAGGCACCCCGGTTGATACATTTTGCATCGTTTACCTCGACGATATCCTAATATACAGCAGCGAGGTAGCAGAGCATCATTGATGCAAATGACGGCATCGGTAAAGGTTGTCAACGGATAAAAGGTCGGAAAAGGAAAACGCTGCATCTGAAACGCTATGTTAGGGCCCACACAGTCACGTGTGAGGCACCATATTCTGGCCTTTTCCTCTGATACATGATCAAGCTCTTCACTTCTTTTAGCTCTCTTGCAATACAACTTGTCAGTTGCATCACGAGCTCTTGTGACCTCGCTGTAGCTCTCTTCCGCGGTCCCTCACACGCCAGCTGCTACACAATCTGCTTCAACGGATGTTTGAGGCCCTTGGATCCCTTGGAGGCCTCTAAAGGCATGAGCTAGTCGGTATGACGTCAACTATTTATTAAAAGGCCTCAAATCCCTCTGCAGATAGCTTCATTTTCAAGGACTAATCCGCTGTTCAATGCAATCCATAGCTTTCAACGTGCAAAAAACAACGAGCTCAGTAAAAGAGTCGTACATAATAGGCTACCACGCAGACGTTGTGTCAGCAAGCCACGTCCCAAGGGATCTCATGTTTATGACGCTTACTATTTAATACATCTTTGTGTTGAACTTGTGTTGGTTGGATGCGCACATGCACTTGGTGCGAGCTTTCTTGAGAAGACGAGCGTTATGAGAGTCATCGCTTTCCAATTCTCCCGTGATTATTGTGGATGGATACAGCAAAACCTTTTCATCCAAGGTCCCAAGGCGATCAAGCGTCGAATCGTGGCGGAATTGCACAGACAATCACTAGTCATTGCATATCGGACATGTGCAAACTTTGACCAGTGAGTACCACTGGGGGACATGGCTTCTAAAAGCTCAGCTGCCGGGGACCGGGATAGATGATGTGGAAAAACATCACCACGAGGCACTGTCACCCAGAGATGGAGCAGAATAATAATCGTTTCAAGTGTGATGGTAGAACGGTAAACTAGCCGTGACGACAAGCCCATTATCGAAAGTCAGTCTTGTATTAAAGGAGTCGATGGAAAACAAACCAGCAGCTTAGAGTAAAAGGCTAGCGTAGATGTTGTCCAAGTTATTTCCTTATAGTGTAAGGTGTATTCTTTAGATAGCGCTCTTTCAAGCTCCGATACCAACGTGGCATCTTGATTAATGAGAGAGTGGCTTCGTCAGCAAGATATGCCTATTGGCAGTTATTGCTGCTGCGGTTCCAACAATTGTAGCAAATACAGGTTCCAATTAGGTCCCTGTTTAATAGGGATAGAGCTGCGTGTAAACGGCTTACACAGCTTCATGTGTATCAGCCGGAGAGGACACGTGTTAGGGTATGTTTTGTGGGAACGCCAGGGTGAATATGACTAGGACAACGCAACGAGCCGGTTCTCTAACCAATAACTCCACTTTATCGTCCGGAAGTCGCCTTCAAGAGGCGTACACCTAAATAGAGCTGTGTACATGAGTCGCAACAACAAGGATAGTTATACATGCACCTGTGTGCATCAGTCATAATAACAAGGATAACTATAAATGGAGGTTTGCGCACGAGTCGCAATAAAGCGATAGTTCTCGGGTGCTGGCCAGTAGTCATTGGTCTTTGGTAGTTGGGATTGGGGCTGAGGTCGTTACGCATTAATTACCATGAACAGGGTGCCAGTTCATGCGTCCACTATCAGCAGATGGTGCATGCCTCGGGCTGCATGTAATTATCCATCGGTTAAAATGTGGGGCGGGCACGGGTATCACATCGTATGCCGCGCGTACGCAGCGCACTAGAAACTAGTACATCTAAATCTAACCAGTAAGTTATGTCGGGCTCAAGAGCTCAAGAGCTACTTTTTATATGGGGGGAAAGCGGGGGTTCTGTTCCTCCTTCTTCCTCGGCTTTGGGGTATTCGTTAGAAACATCTAGTCAGTTGTCATATCAATATTCTCGCCAGACCGACCGATGCAAAGGCAATTTGGCTTCCTCAGCCCAGAGGGCGTTTATATATAGTTGCTATATTGATCACCAGATTGGATATGTATCCCTTTAGCTGCTGAAGTGTATCATTTTGACTAATCGTATCGCTTGAATTTTGATTCCGCACTCCTCGAAACATCTCGTGCCACCGAGTCCAGCTTCCTTTGGCACCCGCACTATTCTTCAGCATTACACGATGCTTCGCGTCATCGATGCCTCACCTAGGCCCGCATTCCAGGGCTGCCAGAACTGCTTCGACCATGGCTCAATGCATTTGACCTCGTCTGGCGGCCCAACCCACTCAATCTGTTCCGTGGTTGATGGCTGGTTTCCAACCCAATCCGACACAAACCCCATCCTCTTCTTTATGTACGCGTAATCCGGCTTATTGTATCCGAAATTCACGCTAGGAACGACGGCAATTCTGCCATGGCCTCGAAACCACAGCTCCGCGCAGAACAGCTGCGGCTCGCCCTGCACACACTCGCCGGCTGTGAAATTGGGGGCCCTGAACCTCAGCCCTTCCAAGAGCGGCTGCGCTCGGAACGAGACGCCGCCGTTCCAACAGGCAAACACCTGAAAGGGTACGCGATCCCTGAACCGTCTGGCCGTCTCGGGTTCGTTCCAGAACAGATCAAAAGGTCTATTCCACCTCATGTCTTCTGGAATTTCCCAAAACGAATTTCCAGACACGCTTCTTCCGATCCAGACATCGTAGAAACGGGGCGGATCCGTCACTTCCCAGTCCATGGCGCATGTCATGTCGGCATTCAACAGGCGCAGCTGGAGCGTTAACTCGAGAATATCCTCTGCGCATGCCAGTACGTCGTTCAGAAAGATGACGGTGGATGATGGAGACACCATGCCGGGGTTGTCAAAGATTGGTTGGAGAGCCGCGTTCCGGAGGGCTGAGAGCTTCTCAATGCGATCACCGTTGGATGGATTCAGCGCCGTCGTCTGGTAGAAGTAGGTGACGCCAAGATCTTCGAGGCCGGGCCGTAAAGCTTCAACCACTTCGAAGGTGCCGTCGGGCGAATTGCCCTCGACAATGGACAGGACACAATTTTTGGGGCCTAGAAATCGGATGGCTTCTACTATAGCACCAAGAAGGGTCGGAAGCACGGGCAGATTCTGTCGCAGATTGAGCGGGAACACGTATTCGATTTTGTTGCTGGCAAAGCCGGCTACCCTTAGCGACTGATATCGAGTGGCATTCAGTGCAGGGCATTCGAGGCGACGAAGTGTTGTTGGCCTGGTGTCGAATATTGCGTCCGTGTAGGACGAGATTGTAGTAGCGTTTAGGATAATAGCTTTGGGCATATGAGCAATGTTAGCAATTTCAACGGCGGCATACACGCCAGGGGTCGTCTTTGTCTCAACATGGTACTGAGAATGAATCCGAGGAATGCCAAGCTGCTTACCGGAGTGTGACGGTGTTGTTGATGTGCCCTTCCAGATACTTAATCTGCGATAAAACGAAGCTTTATCTTGTCTTAAAAGTGCAAGCCCTGCCAGCAAGAACGATACTATAGATGCGATGTATATAATACGGCGTGAATAGGGAAATGATAAAGTCCTCGTTATAATAGTTGGATGCATCTTCGTCGGCTTGGGCGCAAATAGAGCCTTTCCTATATCATGGGCTAATCATGGCCGTAGCACCAACCACGCAAAGTCTGCACATGGAGCCAACTATGGTAAAAAGTGCAAATAGATGCAGTCTGCGGCAATGAGTATGTGACCAGCCTTTATTGACTGAGTGACTTTGGCGTCATCAAATACGTACTTGTATTGCCTCCCACTAAGCCGAGTATCGACGTTTCTCCCAAGCATCCATGTCCGAAGGCTCCGCAGCCCCTGCCCCCCTGCCATGACTCTGCTATCACGGTTCGTCTCGGCACTACCCTGATTGACTGTACGATGAATTACTGGTTCACTGTCAAGATTTCGCGGCAGAGTTGGCAATCCAACTCTAGAATACATACGTGTAGTTGGAGTGGAGTAGTGTGATGGTAATCTTTACTAGAAGGATATTAACTACCTAGGTACTCCGTAGATGTAGACTGGCTAAACAGACACTGTAGTATAGCTTATCCCAGGAGGTGATCCGACGCAAGTTGAGCTCCATCGCGCAGGGAGGAACATGAATATTTTAACCAAGAATATATACCACCAGACTATTCCTCACTTAACTGACTTGATCCGATTATTGCAATTTACTCAATTTAATTAATTATTAAATAATTTAATTTATCTATAACCTTAACCCTAATACACAACTTGACTAGCCTTGGCCACCAACTTTTAAGGAACTTCCACTATAACTCCACTGTAACATCACCCAAAATGGTATTAGCAATAATCAGGTCAGGTCAGTTCCAATGGTCGAGTCAGGTCAGGTAGACGAGACATGGTCGGGGGATGTGCACTTTCACTTTGACTTTTCAACTCCGTCCCAGACGATACTTCACTGGCTCGGTTGTCGAAACAGTGGGGGCTTGCGTCATCCCCGGAATCAAGCTGAAACAAATCTGTGTCCCAACTAATTTGAGTGCATAAGATAACGTAGGTAAACAACGGGTCTGGTCGGCTAGCATGGCAGGCCGGCGGCCCCAAAACGCGATACAAAACGGCATTTCCGACCTCCACGTAACAGCGTTTATTGGAGAGTCAAATAGAATACAACTCGGCGAGTATACTTATTCATGTGTCCTGTCACCTGTGAGAGTGTCGAGGCTTTATACCGTACTAGTAAAGAGAAGATGATTCAGTACAGGGACTCCTAATAAACGACATGTGCAAATAACGCCAGATACAAGTACGAATTAGGGCTCATGTCGCCGCCTCCTAGACCACCACGTGGCGGTGCATAAAAAGATGATAGGTCGCTATACTCATCCGATAATAGCTCCGCTTTCAGTCCCCTAAATTAACCGTTTACCCTAACCGCTAAACTCTGTACGGCTAGTTCGGGTGAGCACCCGTGTGTCATATCATGTCTTCACGCCCTCGACCAGGCCATCTCGTCGCGGCACGGCCGGACCATCTCGCCCGGGCGGAGCCAAGGCACCTCCCCCGGCCACCGGCCACACAACACCTCCCCGGCCGCAAGCCGGTCCGCAAACCGGCAAAACCCGAGTCTCATGCCCCCCGATCCTCCGTACGCTGCCATCGACCGCGCCAAGACAAACAAGCTGGCCACCACGGCAAAGCCGGCAACTCGCCCAGTCGGTCCTTGGGGACTTTACGAAAAGGGCGGCGCTATCTAAAACGGCAACGGCGAGGCTCTGAGCACTTCAAAGAGTCAAGTCGACCCCAGTGATCCCAATAGCAGAGGGTATCAAAAGGGCCCCAAAACAGGGGAGTGGCCAGGATGAAAGCTTATTGATGGCAAGGAATTCTCTATGAATCAGACGGTTGCTCCGAGTTCCGGCCCGGATAATGAGTTGCCCGTGTCAAAAACGAGCGGGGAGACATCATCACTACATGTCGGCGCCACGGGGAGAGTCAACAGGGCACAATTACAAGCTGGACATGGTGGATTCAATTCGGCCAAGGACCGCTGACCGTTGTGACAGTACATGGTTTGGGTTTTCTTGGTTAAATTTCTTGCAGGCTACATCTGGCCAATTACCCCGATTAGATTACCGAATTGACAAAATATTCCAAAATATGTGCAAAGTTGCTAAATCCAGAGTGGATGGCTAAGCATCTTGCCCAAAAGGGCAACAGTGTAAATACCGTGTAGCCTACGGGCTGTACGTGGACAGAAATGAAGAGGGCAGCTCATGCGCCCGCTTCGTGGTTGTCATAAAACAACAGCACCTGTCAAGACCTATCACCACGGTTTCCATTCCAACGTCTGATCGGGCTGTGGTACTTTTGACACGCGCGCTGCCGGTACCAAGTATGGAATGGAAGGTCGTATAGAGACCATGAAATGAATACCCCTTTTGTCGCAGCATTTTACAAGTTCCAAGACGGTTCCTTGGTGATTCTGAGAAGAAACGGCGGGAAATGCAAAAAAAAGTTCCAGCCGTGCGCAGCCATTTTGAAAGTGCTAATTACAGTTTCCACATGTGCTAGTCTAAATCTCGTCCTCCTCGTCGTCAAAGTCGTCCTCCCTCCCCATCTCGTACAATATCCTGCCCCCCTCACCAGCGCCAATATCCGTCTGCGCATCAAAGTACGGCAGCACAATGCCCTCCCTGTCCCTCCTCTGCTTCTCCGTCAGCCCCAGGCTAAAGGTGCTCTCCGGCTCCTCCTCGTCGGCGCGATCCGGCTCTGCCGGGCTAAACATGGCATGGTCCGTCAACAGCGCGATTCTGCCCGTGCCCGACTTGCCCGCCGCCAGCATGTGACGCTGCAGGATGAACTTTTCCGTCACTGTCCTCCCGCTCTTGCGTCGCAGCTCCATGTCGATAACGACGCCTCTGTCCTGATCTGGGGTCCTTGGCTTGAGGCCGATAATGACGCCTTCGCGCTCTTCCTTGAGGCCCCATTCGGGTTCCTGGACGGCGCGGTTGCGGGCCTTTTGTCTGTCGATTTCTTGGGGCAGGCTGGAGAGGCGGAGGATGGCGGTGGCGAGGTGGTTCAGGATGGTGAAGGGGTGGGGTTCGTACTCGTTGAACGACGGGGGCACGAGGATGGGCACGTCGGTGTGGTATACGGACACGATTGATACTGCTGGTGTGAGAATGCTCGAGAGAAAGTGAGAGAGGGAGCTGGGGGCTGTGGAGGCGAGGCTGTTGAGTGAGTCGATGAGAACAATGGCCCCTGCTTTTGGTGTCAGTCCCCCACGATTTTGCCCCGACGCCCGACAATGTTCATTATAGTTTTGCCTACTTTGGGACAGCTTTTCTCTTGGCTGCGTCGGGTCAAAGGCGGGATATTGCGCAGCCAGTTCCTTGGCTACGAGTCGTAAATCCCTGCCGGCGGCCTTGACCATGGCGTCGACAGTCTGCGGCTTCTTGACCGTGGCAAAAGAGAGCAGTATGACTTTTGTTTTGGAAATCTGGACTGCGTTGGTATTCTCTGGACGTCTACGAGGTGCATGCGGCGTACCTTTGCGCGGGTAGTAAACTCATCAAGCACAGGTTGCGCCGGCTGTTCAAGACCATCGTGGACAAGAGTGAGAGGACTCGCCGAGTCGCGGAGGTTGAGCAGCTTCTGCAGCAGCAGCAGGCTGTGCGACCGATTATGCACGCTGCTTTCGGCGGCCATGTTTGCCAACACCAGACGCAGCGGCACACGCCAAGGCCGTCCGAAATGTGTGGTGCAGTGAGAAGCAGAAGCGATGCGTCTTGGATGTTTGATGAAGGTTAAAACGCCAAAATGCCAAAATGGGCCCCACCTGCCTCACCTACGGCCCCACCACCATCAATTCCACCAAAAGTCGCAGCTGGAGCAAGCATCACAGGATGGCCATGCCATGCGAGTCCGCACCCATGGAGTGGTTCGAATCGCCATTATCCGCCTCGTCCTGGGGCTGGCAACCCTCCAATGTAGACTCCGTTTCGTCGTCACCCTTTTTCTGACGATCCGCTGCCTCGCCTCGGCCATCTTCTACCCTTCTCTCCTCCGGCCTCGCCGTGGCCTTTGAATCATCAGGGGGCTCAACGGCCCAATCCTCAACAAACTTGTCCCTTAGCCACCCGTCAAACTCACCCGCCTTCCTCCTATTGTGCGCGCTCCACGCATCCTCCAACCAAACTGCATCGTGTCTCCCCATCGCCAGGTTGTCGACATACGCCGCACAGTCGTACCGGAAGGAATCGTCATTCATTAGAGTCTCGAAATTCGGCCGGGCGTCATCAGTGTCCGCGTCCAGCGTGTGCGCCATATCCGGAAACAACGAGAGGACTTCCTGTCTCTCTTTGATGCTCAGCGACGTCCACGCCAGTGGGTTCGCGAGCACGCTCTGCAGTGACCAAGTGTTAGCCATTTCGGGGAAAATATGCACAGAGGGATGGATGGGGTGAGACATGCTCGAAGGTCCGCAGATGCCAGCGGCGACTTTGGGTCGGTGAGGATGTTGTCTGGGGTCCATTTTGACTTGCGTTTAGGCGCGGCCTTTTTCCGCCGAGCCATGGTGATGATGCCCAGGCGTGTATGCTGAGAAGGCGTGACGGGAAGAGCAGAGGTGGTCTGGAAGAGGAGTGATGGGCGAGCTGGGCGTTGACGTAGGTCAATGCAGGGTAGGGCCGTTTTGATGTGCGTGAATCGGCGACACATCGGCCTCGTCCGAACCGACTACATCTAGACAGACCCTGTATCTGTACTTGGTAGGGACTGGCCGCAGCTCTGCATCAATTCCCATGTCTCTGAAAACTCGACCTTGGCCTGCTGCGAATACGACATCAATATTCGCCCTGGAGAACTTCTGCTCGGTCCTGCTCGGTCATACTTATCGCGAGCTGGACCCCACCATGTTACCTCGAACTGAACTTCACATCCAATTTAGCCTCAACACCCAGCATCCACAGCTCCAAGCACAATCAATCCGATGGCGGCGGTTCTTAAATGCACCACACCCTCCACGCCCAAAATGTACAATCTGCGCTACTGCTTCATTTCCTCGCATACACAATTTCATTACGCATCACCACAATGTCACTCAACCTAGGATACAACAATGCCCACCCCTTCAGCAAGGTCCGCATCCACGACCGAGCATCCATTCAAGAGCTCTTGCAAACTGTGCTCGACCCCCTGGAGCCGTTCTTCTCACCCGCAAAAGCAAGAGTAAGATGCCCCGGCGGAACCGCCGCTCGCTTCGACCAAACTGCCTGTGAAGTTGAAGGAATATGTAGACCGCTCTGGGGCCTGGCGGCCCTGCTCGCGGGAGACGGCGAATACAGAGGGAAAGACTGGTGGATCCAGGGCATCAAGGCTGGTACAGATCCCGACAGTCCTGAATTCTGGGGGTACCCAAGGGATAATGATCAACGAATGGTTGAAATGTGCCCTCTAGGTGAGCTTTGTTCCGCCCCGCCCTTTTCGCTCTTTATCAATATCACATGTAAGAACTCTTCACTGAGTATTGTCAGGATTTGCCCTGGCGGTTATACCTGGTATCTGGGACAAGTTCAACACGCGAGAGCAAAGCAACATTGAGGCGTGGCTTGGGAACTCGATCAATGAGAAAATGTGTGTTGCGCTGCTCGTCTTGGACCGCATCGGCTGACGGAAGTAGCATGCCCAATACGAATTGGCTTTGGTTCCGCGTTTTTGCAAACCTCGGCCTCAAGAAATGTGGCGCGAGATTTTCCCAGAACAGACTGGCCCGGGATATCAGCCACCTCGAGACGTTTTACCGCGGTGACGGCTGGTCGAATGATGGGCCTGAGGGCATTCATCGTGAGTAAATCACTCCTTCTTGAGAAAGAAGAAGAATATTTTAGAAATAAAATAACCACTCTATTGTGTTCCAGAGATGGACTATTACTCGTCCAGCTTCGCCATCCAGTTCCTGCAGCTCTTGTACGCACAACTAGCTGGAGATGAGGACCCGGACCGAGCAGCCGAGTTCAGACAACGAGCCAAGATGGCGGCTCTTGATCTCGTGCACTACTATGACGATCAAGGCAGGGCCATACCCTTTGGGAGGAGCGTGGGATATCGTTTCGCCATGGTGTCGTTCTGGGGCGCCCTGGCATATGCACATGTTGAACTCCCGGCGCCTTTGACGTGGGGGATGGTAAAGGGCATTGTCCTACGCAATCTGCGTTGGTGGCAGACACAGACCGAAATGTGGACGTCAAGTGGCACCCTGTCACTGGGGTATTCATACCCCAACATGTATGTAAGTGAGAAACCAAGAAGAACGGTTTCCGTCTGTAAAGGGTTCACGGCATGTACTTACGGAACACAGTTAACCGAAAACTACAACAGCCCGGCGAGCCCGGTGAGTTCTAATCAATCCCGTCGGCGGCGTGCGTGCCTCGGGGTTTCGCGTTTCGTAAGCCTAACATGTATAGTACTGGGCGTGCTTGGCCTTCATCTGTCTGGCTGTGCCCGAAAGCCATCCGTTCTGGACGTCTGAGGAAGAGCTTGTTAGCCACACGATCCCTAGTGTTAAAGAGCTGCCGCACCCCGGACATATCATGAGGTGAGCCAAAAATATGCCGCCAATCAAAGTTTCAATACTAGGCTTCTAACGTCTATGTTCTTTTCTTTATTTTCCACAGCCGCCTAGGGGGTCACTGCATGCTTTTGTCGTCCGGACAGGCATGTGGCTATCCCATGAAGGCCACGCACGCCAAGTATGGCGCATTTGCCTACAGTAGCGCATTTGGGTTTTCGGTTCCTTCCGGGCTGTTCTCGCTTGAACAGTACGCCTTGGCATCACAGCTTGGTCTCTCCGATGATGGAGGTGAGTACTGGAAGACGAGGCGAGTTTCCGAGTACGCGGGCATTGAATACCGTGACGACCAGCCAGTCCTCGTGTCGCGCTGGAAACCATTCAGCGATGTCACAGTCACGACTACCCTGGTATCATCTACCCCAAAGACCCCCAACTGGCACCTGAGGGTCCACTGCATACAGACGGGACGGCAATTGATGACTGCCGATGGATCGTTCGCCATCTGCAACGTTAACTCGGTCAATAGCCGCTATTTGGAGTTGTATGACCAGGAACAGTGCGAGGGCACAATGCCTAAAATCATCGGTAACTATGACACGAATACGCCCGACGGTTGGGCTGACGGTGAAGACGGGTCATTTGCCGTACATGCTACCAAGGGAGCGGTTGGTATCAAGGCTTTGGAACCAATGGGTAGTAGACGGGCCATGCTGGTCAATGCGGATCCTAATTCAAATCTTGTCGATAGTCGCACAACGATACCGACTCTGCAGGACTCCATTGAAAAGGGACAGACGGCGTGGTACGTATCTGCCATATACGCCAAGCCCGGCCAAGATGGAGTGTCCAAGATGACATATCTCGACGGCTGGCAGACGCCACCAAATATTCCTCGGTGGTTGTCGGTCGAGATGAGCAAGGGCAAGGTGTAGAAAGGTCTAAGAGTTAGTGCGCATCATATTATTAATATCGGGGGACCTGAACACATAATTAGAGGTGTGACGAAATACGCAGTCCACTCGGTGAACTTATCGCGAGCCAGTCGTCAGCCACAAACCTGTGCAGTGGGATACTGCAATCTTGTGCTTCCCAACCCGATAGTCGTCACACAAAAGGCAATTCATTCGTATATGTTTAGGTCCCAGAGGTGGAGATAAGCAACAGCCACCCCCACAACTTGAAGAAAACATCTCGTCCTCCCCACGCTCCCCACGCTCCCCAGGATTTAAACCCCGGCAATGGTGGCTGTGTCCCGACGGCTATTAGCAATCCCAGCCCTCCCCGCTGGTGGCACCATGGCCATGGCGGGTGGTTGTTTGGTTGCGACTAGGCCGGCTAATGGTGCAGAGACAGCCAAAAATTAATGCCCACCTTTCATTTGTGGATTGATATCTTCCGTCACTGAGCGTTCAACAATGGCGGGCGCTTTGACATGAATGCAATGATGCCCGTCCGCGGTGTGTCTGGGTGGTTGATACTCCGCATACTGCCTGGAGATGAAATGTTGATTGACGGAACAGTAATAATTGTGGCAGGGACCAGAGCTTCGATGTGGTTGCTAACAAGGCGAATGGGAAATTGTCAATCCAAAATGAATTTCTTCTCTCCTCGCCAAAATCGTTCAAGTAGCATGGGACGAAAGATCACCATAACGCGGCATCCCATGCCCTGTCCGGTGACATTTGGCTCCGAGCCATGGCTCGTCACGGCTTAGCCTAGAAGGTTGTTCTCTGGCGACTTGTTTTTGGTGCGGCAATCGGGCCGACGGCTTGCAAGCCCAAGGATACAGGTACCAATCATGAATTCATCTGCCTTTCACTGATGTTGGCTGATGGTGGTGATTGAAGTGGTGTTGCTAGTCGTCCAATGGTGCTTGTAACCTCGGCCTTTCTCAGTGCATTTCGAGATTTCGTACAAAGCCCCTCCACCGCGTTTTGTCAATGGAAACGAGAAGATGCATGCCGTCAAAGTGCAGTGTGACTTGCGGCGATAAGCTGTTAGATGATCGCTAGTCTCCTGGGATGAACCAGACTAGAATCCGGGTGGTAAGCAAGTGGCTTGCCCTATAATGCCACAAATGACACATTGAGAACATCGTCCATATTTCGCCGAATTGGACCCCAGACTACACCTTTTTGGAGCGTTCCCCTCGGATGACTTTTACCAGGGTAGCTCCATCGTCCATTCTCCCGACTCGCGTGGCGCAACCCCCATCGCCCATTATCTCTTCCTCCAATCAATCCCGCCCGTTGATCTTGCGAGTCTCTGCAACATACTTACATCAAGCATCCGACTGTCCTTTTTGGTTGCGTGTTGCTCTTTTCCAGCCTCACTATCACTCGTTACAGAGTCAAAGTACGCCGCGCGAACCGAGTCCATCCTTCGATTTGCAGGGTCCGGAGCCGTGCTTCATGACGGGAGCATCGTCAGCATTAAAGTTTTGACGTCGGCTGTTGGCTGCTCCCTCATTGCCATACAACCAACGCCTCAGCAGCAAAGACCAGAGGGGTTGTTCCTGCGGCAGTAGTCTCTTCCACCATGGTCTTCGCAAAGATCCTACGGGGGATCGTGCGCAATGATGCGATGCGCACTGATCCCGACCAAATTTACAATGCCAAAGTCCTGGCTCTCGTATGCTCTGCCTGCTTTGGCGGCATGCTCTTTGGTTGGGATACCGGTGCCATCGGTGGCGTTCTGGCCATGGACCAGACAAGCGAAAGGTTTGGGTACCTGCACAGATCGAAAACAGACAAGTCCAATTTGGACCAAAATATCGTTTCAACGCTGCAGGCCGGTTGCTTTGCAGCTTGTCTTGTGACGTTCTGGTTCGCCGACAGGTTTGGTCGCCGCTGGAGTCTCATTGGAGCTGGTGTCATCACCGTCATTGGAGTCGTCTTCCAGGCTGCATCTGCCATAGATGGCACCTTGGCAGTTATGTACGTCGGAAGATTCATCGCGGGGCTCGGTGTTGGTGCTGCGTCGACCTTGACCCCGCTGTATGTATCTGAATGTGTTCCTCGAGCAATTCGTGGTGGGTTGACTGGTATGTTGTCTCCGTTGCTTCGTCCGGTCTAAAGACTCTGTCGGCCAACCTGAAACTGGCAGCCTTTTACCAACTCTTCATCGTCCTTGGCATCATGATTGCCTTCTGGGTCAACTATGGCTGCCTGCTGCATGTGTCGGCACCAGCAGTCTTCATTGTCCCCTTGGCCCTGCAAGCCCTACCCGCATTGTAAGCTTTCTTCCCCTCATGAACATCACCAAGATATCACGCTGACTGCAACTAGTTTTCTGATTACCGGCATGCTTTTTTCTCCAGAGAGGTTCGTCGACCCAGAATGCTATCCATCTGCAAACCCGCTAACCTGTTTGAAGCCCTCGATGGACAGCTCGAAAAGACAAGTGGGAAGAGACTTCCCAAATTTTGGTCAGACTGCGAGGGTACCGTTCTTCCCGGCATCTTCCATAGATTTGGTGATTTCTAACGGTCTGCAGGCTTCCCGCCGACTCGGAATACGTCTCCGGGGAGATTCAAGAAATGGTGGATCAACTCGATTATGAGCGCCGTTTGATGGGCGATGCCACCTTTAAGAGTTTGATGAAAGAGATGTGGCTCGTCCCTGCCAACCGACGGCGCGCTGTGATCTCCATTCTCCTTATGATATGCCAGCAGCTCACCGGTGTGAATGCCATTGTATGTCGAAAGAACACTTCCCTTGATCCGTGATTTTTGCGCTAGTGCATGATTCTAATTCCTGTCAGAATTATTACGCCCCTCAGATTTTTACGAATCTTGGAATGAATGGGACTGATTCGTCGCTCTTTGCAACCGGTGTTTACGGCATCGTGAAGACTATAGCCGTTTGTTTATTCCTACTCTTCGTTGCGGACTCATTAGGCCGACGGAAGAGCTTGTTGTATACCAGCCCAATGTTGGTTATCGTGTTGTTCATCATTGGTATATATGGGCGCGTGCAGCCTCCTGTTACCGGAGAGCCCGTAAGTTGTGTTCAGTCTCGTCCTGCCCATTGGCGGAACTAATGTCTCAAAGGTCACTGCGTTTGGATATGTCGCTATGGCTTGCATTTACCTCTGGGCAGCGTATGTAAATGACCATTCAGCTCCAGGTGTTGCGTAAACTGACATCAGACACAGCATCTTTCAGTTTGGCTGGGGGCCGGCTTGCTGGATCCTGGTCAGTGAGATCCCTTCCGCGAGATTACGTGCCGCAAACGTCGCCATTGGTGCTGGTACCCAGTGGCTCTTCAATTTTGTCATGGCTCGAAGTATGTTTTCTTTGAGTATTCCTAGATGAACGGATACTGACATATTCTAATAGCCGTCCTTACCATGCAAAACACCATGGGCTACAAGGGTTATGTAAGTGAAAATAAATACGATGAGTTACGGCTGGACCAAATTCAGGCTAATGCATTATGTCGCAGGGCATGTTTTTCATGTTTGGTAGTTTCGATATTCTCATGGGGTTATTTGTGTTCTTCTTTGTCCCTGAGACTAAAGGTCTCAGCCTGGAGAAAATGGATGAGCTCTTTGGCATGAATGAGACCGTCAAGCAGCTAGACGCAGAGCCGGAAACCGGACGACCTGTCAGCGTGCACGAAGATCGAGCCACGAAGACATAAGACTGAGTAACTGTGTGGGAGCGTTTAAGATTTTACCGAAGTGGCGTGTGCATAGTGAATCCAAATCTTTGATATTTTGTCGCGCTGGGTGACTGAACTGGTAGGGCCTACCTGAGTAACATATTATGAATCGATGGGTTGTTGAGTTATTGACTTGCTATAATGCAGCTGGAGTGCAACCTGGTTTTTTGGCAAGTTGAAAGCTAAACAAGCCTTAGCGGAAGACGGTTGGCTGTCCTTTGAGGGACATCACATAGGCCCGTGTTCATTCGAGTTTCAGGGTTAAATGGTCTTTCCAGTGTCTGCTAGTGAACCTGCACTACACGGTTAAGTTGACCCAGATACCAGAACGAGGAATATATCGCGGCATGCATGGGGCATGTTCGCCAAATTTATTCACAGCCCAGAATATCGTGTACTCATTTCACTGTCTTCACAACATCACGCCGTCGATGAACCTGAGCAGCTGGGTGAAGTGGCTTTGCTATGTCCGCAATGACACCGAAATGACTTGTCCGGGCCAGCTGTAAGCTGAGGGCGGTGAAAAGTGCTGGAGAAGGGCTGTGGTGGGAAGATGCATGCATGTAAACTGATAGGCCTGGGCCGCCTGGCAGCGACAGGCAAATCCAGTAGCCATTCTGGTCTTGATGCGGGATGGATCCACTGCCTCGCAACGACGAGTCTGGTATCATCAAGCCCCTGGTAGAAAGGATATTGTGTTGGTACGGAGTACATCGATTGGATAAGATGAACAAATGTTGTCTTGCAAGCTTCGACTCTGGCCGTTTGTCCAAGAACCTCGAATTTCGGCTAGCAACGACCGCATACGTCATGAACTGGTTCAGTCCCCTACCATCGTTGTGGGAGACCTGGATGTCGAGCCGTAAGCCCGAACAAGCCCAAGAATCCCCGTGCTTGACTACCTAGAATATCGCAACCAGCCGATTGAGGGCTGTTTCACTGGGGAATCACGCCCGAGTCAGGAGAATGGGACATTGAAGAGGCCTGCACACCAGCTAGGCATGGGCCTAGCATCCGTCTAGAAGACTAGACGTGCCTGGTAGCAGGGCTGACTACCAATGGCAGCCCTAACGCTCAGGGTGACACTAGACAAACGGATATGCATTGCTGCCGACCAGCCATGAGCCACGGTGCAAATCAAGTACATATTTCATCGTAACAGCATTCAACCTCTTGTCCCCTTTCTTAAATGGGAAGATCCGAATTTGCCGTGTTTGACAGTCGTCTTTCCGCTCAGTAGCCGTACCCTTGCGGCAGAAGTGATTGCGACACTGGCTGGTCGGGAAGTGATGTGACGGCCCCACGACTTGGGTGATTTAGTCGGTGGGTATGAAACTTTCGGCTCACATCCGGCAGGTGTCACACAATCACACACAAGGGGATATTGACAGATCTTGTGTGGACGATGAAGGCACCGACGAGAGGAGAATCTAGAGATAGAGGGGTTGCACTTTTGATGAGAAGGGGAGGTAGAAGCTAAAAGCATGTCAGCACGCATATACTTTGCTGGCAGTATCAAGAAAGCTGGTCTATGGAAAGCCGAGGAGACACGTAACGAGCCACTTGTTCCTGGGATAGCACTAAGGGGGAAGTGGTCTGAAGTCGTTTGATTCAACCCAGGCGCACGTCGCTGGACGTATGCCAAGATGAGAGGAGGGACCTAGCAATTGGATTGATGACTGCGTATGCCGTTAGACAATGCAGGACATCTGTACGAGAGTCTGAGAACTGAAGAAGCCACAGATCCGCGTGTGGCTAAGAAGACAAAGTCGAGGACTGACCGGGGGGGTTGAGGTTCAATGGCAAAAGGACTCAAGGCTACAGAATGCAGCTGGTTCACATGCGTGGGCTCATGTTTGAGGCACGCAACATATCGACTGATCACGCCGACTTGTCCCACCAGCCATGCCGGCTTCATGTTGCCAGTTGCCAACTTGCCGGCTTGCCAGCCGGCAGCTGTCGCTCCTTCCCTGTCGTCTCGTCTTATCTTGCCTATCACAGTTCCCGTCCGCACCTCCGTGCGCCTTCCCCCAGAGCCATTTGGGGGAAGGTACGGAGTACATGTATTGTATGCGCTCGGTCGACTTTGCGCTGGTCAACTCAGACTTCTTCGGGCTCTGGCTCCCCTCGGAAGCGAAGATCTTTCGCTTGCTTTGGTTGGGTCTGCTTGGATTTTGCAAAATGGCAAGAGGGTCAGACGGTCGAAGTGTCAAAATGTCAAAGTGTCAATGGCCAAACGGTCAAACGGTCGAACGGAAAAACGGTCCAAGTTAGTAGGGGAGGGGACATCAATGTCGGCCCATGCCTAGGGCCTTCTGTTCTCTTCAATCCTGGCTGGGAGCTCTCGCCTGGTTCCCCCAGGTACCAATCTCTAATCAGAGAGTCAAGTATGGTCAACTGGTCGTTTCCCAGTGTCCAGTCGCATTAATGCCTGCCATTCATTCAGGAGGGCGGCTCTGACTCCCATGTCTGGTGTCTCTCTCTCTCTCTCTTTTCCCCGGAGAAAATGCCCCAAGCCTTCCTTGCCTCCCTCCACGTCATTTCCTCCCGCTATTTATTACCGCCATGCACCCCGTCTGTCAGGCATGTTGCTCTGCTGCTCCCCTTTCGTCTTATCCGGGGAGTATATGCAGTGCAATGCCGACTCAATGCGTCGTGATCGAGTTTTGCCATCTACTCAAAACACGTCTATGTGGATGCCCGGCATCCTCTTCCACTCGTCCCGCCGCCAACGAATCGCCGAATCGGGCCAGCATTCACGGCAAGATTGAAAACACGAGCAATGGCAACCAACAGCAACCGGCCTGGCGCTGCCTCCCATGGTCATGGCCAGTCCCGGCGGCATGGAGCCAGCACACACACGACGGCGACGACAACACCAAGCACGTCCACGTCCACATCCTCTCCAGCTGCAGGTCCCGGCTCCGCTCGACACCAGACATATATACCACCACCCTCATTTCGTACGTTCCTTTTCCGCCTCAGTTTAAGCATGGCTATGCTCCCGAAGCCTAGTCACTGATGCCTTCTGCGCTTGAATCATATCTTGATTGCCGATTCATTGACCAGAGCCAGAGCCGCTTTATTCCTCGGCACTTGGTGACTCGGCCTCAGCCACAGAACCACAAGATTGAAGCGCTAGTCTGTACTCAGCGCCCCTATTGATCAATGGCTGGACAGGCTGAGACTGGCTGCTGGCCATGATGTGCCCAACTGGCTTTGGCGCAAATTCCATACAAACCCGCCTGACATCCTAAGTGGCCAGGTCTCCCCGCAATGATAGCAGCGCGGCAGAGTTGCAACTCAATGCCATCTAAAGCTGGCAATTGACTTTGGCGTAATTCCGCTTGCTTGAGCTGTTTCGCTTACTTCTATTTCCCCTTTTTTTTTAATGTCTTTCCCTCTTTATCTTTACGTTGTTTTCATTACGAATTCAAACTCATAACTCACATTTGACCATCTCCCCGCGCGTCATTGCCCACCCACAGACAATTTCTGCTGCGACGTGTGAGCTGGTTGGATAGCTGTCGGGAGTCGACATGTTCGCTTGCACTGTCCGCATCTGATATCATGGCTGACGAGGAGACTCGACCTGCAGCAACGCACAACTCGCCGCGCACATGGCTACTGACTGCGGCGCTGTCGCCATTGGCCGTTCGCCTCATCCGCCAATTGCTATCCCATGGCGACTATGTCGTCGCGTGTTTACCGCCGCAAGAAATCGACCATGAGCAACGTAGTGCCGAGTTTCGGGAGCTCATTGCTGAGTGCAAGAGCAGTCGCAAAGACCGCGAAGGATGGAAGGACCGCATTCGAGGCATCCGCTGCGATGGGAATATGAGCTCGTGTATTTCTGCCGTCACCGACGCTGTCGCAGTGTTTGGACGGATTGACATTCTGCTTTGTTGCAGATCTGAAGGTGTGCAATGTGTGCAATCCAAATTTCTAATACCAAAAAAGTGCGTACTCTAACCAGCCATCATTGCGTAGCCGTTGTGGCCACGGTCGAGGAGCTTTCCACCAATCCACACACGCAAAGCCTTACCAGACAACAGTTCGAAAGCAACTTTTTCTCGCAGGTGAACTTCATCAAGGCCACGCTGCCACAGCTCAGGAAACAACATACAGGGCACATTATTGCACTCACAAGTACCTGCGGCCACCTTGGAACGCCCGGCTTGTCCATGTTTTCAGCTGCAACATGGGGCTTCGAGGGATATTGTGACTCTCTGGCCTACGAGGTGGCACCATTCAACATCAAGGTGACGGTTGTGCAACCGAATATGGAGATTCAATCACTTACTGGCCGTCTCACATTTGCGCCGCAGCTTCCGGCCTATGTTGATGCGTATCCCGCTGCGCCCACCGTACGAGATATGCTCAGCAATGTGCTGAATTCGGATCCCGACACGGCCGTGCCAGAGCCCCTGGAGGAGTCCGGGGCTACACCATCCACTCCGGGCAGCACGTCGTTGGAACCAGACCCTGGTCGCGGCGGAATTTTTGACCGCTATCCAAGGCTTACGCCTCAGGCGGCGGACGCACTCGTCAACGAAACCGTTCATGCGCTTACAGCTATCGGTGGCCACGAAAACCCCCCATCGAGGCATATTGTTGGGTCAGAAGCTGCAATAGCTGTCAAGGAGAAACTCAAGACTGTCACAGAGGAAATGGAAGACTTTGTGGACTCTAGTTTGGCTGTTGATATTTTCGAAAGTGAACTTACAGAAGAAGCGAAGAAAGGCAAAAAGCCCAGGGACAAAAGTCCAGAAGCGGGAGGGTCCAACCAAACGGGTCATTGAAGTGGAGGGATAGGGAAGCGGAAGAGGAAGAGCTGATGTAGAAAGGGGTGGGCGCGTTGTGATTGCCACGCCACGGAGATGGCGCTGGGGCGGATTCATGATAGCACGATAGGCGATACGGATGGTGCTTGTGTGTATACTTAAGTACGTTAGCAAAAGCCATTGATACCCTGGGTCTGGTAGAATAGAACAATGCGGTGGCTCGATGGACGAAGGTGACTAAGCATTGATAGGTTGGCATTTCTACCTTTTAGTTTGCAGATTGGAGGTGGATGTTTGGTTTGCTTGGTTTTCCGGATGGCATTGTCTGATGCATTGTACATGAATTGACTTGAACTTTAATCGCCAGACTGGTTGTCGAACTGGTGATCTTGACAATGCTTGCTGTAACAAAGAGTCCACGGGGCCTTTTCGCCTGCAGCCCAGGTTCAATGTCTGTGCTGGGCAAGTGCAGGTGCCCAGGTTCTCGGTACGAGTAGGTGCTCACCTTTCCGGCAAGATAATCAAGTACAGAGTACGGAGTAGTACTCCAAGAAACGTTTCGACTCAACCCGCCCCACCGCCTCGAGCTACAGGTCCCACCGCACCAGTTGACCACTCGACTTTGTCTTTTGTGTCGCTTGCCCAGTTGCTTGCTCAGGTAATCCGTACCCCGTGCTCAACTCCATATCACGGCCACGCTCGAAGCTCCCCCACGCCCAGTCCTTCAGTCTTGCGCCCAAACGAGCTGATAAACAAACGGCACTGGATGAACGGAGCATGCGCCGAGACCTCCAGCTATAATAACCCCTCTTGCGACATTATCTGGACCCTTCGACCACCAAACAAACGCTTGCGGCCAGACGATCCCTGACAATGGTGCACAGAGTACGGATATAAGAGATGTCCTCGGATCCGTTGCTTCCCATCGCTCCTGCGAGGGTAAGAGCGCTCTTGCTGCCCTTGGGGAAAATCAAGACGCAGCGTTTTGCCGAGTTTGTCGAGATACTACAGGCCGAATATGTCGTTCACCTTCGGGACATCAGTGCCGACGGGAGGCCAAATCGAAGTATACCTGCTCCCCCCTTATCTTGTAACTTGCTGGCCCTCTTTTCCTCTATGATGTCGTGTTCCATATTTGGAGATAACAGGTGCTAACCTGTTAGACATGTTTTCTCCATTGGCATATCCCGACGGCGCAATGCTATACGATCTTATAACTTACGTGCCTCCTGTGTCGCACCTTGCCTTGTCGCCATTTGATTTATACCGCGAACCACTCGTACTTATTGCGCTAGCGGACGGAGAGGAGCTTCAGGACAAGACGTTTAGCAAGAGGTATTCGGCAAGTAGGGCAGCGACAACTGTTGAGAGAAATGTACATGCCTTGTATCAAGAATTGGAGGAGTTGAGAGACAATTTTCCCAAGGTTCTGGTACACCAAGTCGTGATTTTTGATTACATTTCTCCCGAGGGAGTGAACGTTCATATGCCAGAAGGGATACTGTCTGTTCCACCCAAGGACATGCGAAAGCGAACGACTATGAAGACGGTAATGTGTGATATCTCGTCATTAGTGTTAGCGGAGATGACGACGTTGGCGAAATCATTCGAAGCAATGTCTACGATTGAATCTCCAGGGTTGTATGCGGCGAAAAACATGAATGGCAATGCATGGGGCGGCAATGGAGACGGAAGCCTGGCGTCACTGTCACGTCGAAACTCACAGTTTTCGCTGCCCCAGCAACTGTCACGGTCTAGCTCGGCATCGAGTGTTGCGGACAAGACACAGGCAAGACTGTCTATGCCGCCTACAACATCGAGATCACCTAGTAATGCGGCTGGACGGCCGTCAACGCCTCCACGGAGTGGATTATCTGCCACGCCCATGAGTCCTGACGGTGGACAGAGTGGATCTAGCACTGGACCATCAAGTCCGGATCAGAAGACGCAGAGGTCTGATGTGAACAGCTCACGCGATCTCAGTCGAGATCGAGTGTCTGTACAAGGGTTTGGGCCTGGTGGTGCCAATGATCGATGGAGGTTGCGTGGCAAAGGACGCACGTCCGTGCTCATCGGGTCCATGTATTTGCTGGCAGGAAGATGGAGCGACTCCCTCAGGGAACTCTCCGAAGGCGCAACAGCTGCTCGCTCATTAAACGACCATATTTGGCATGGAAAGGCTCTCGAGCTTATCATCATGAACCTTGTACTCCTGGGCTGGTCGAAACTGGAGTTCCAAGTACCAACCGTCTGCTTGCCGAACCACGAGAGGTCTACGAGCATGTCGGAAGTTCTGAAATCAGAACCAGACAGCGCCAATCATTCACAGCCTAAGCACATACGCCATCTGCAGAATCTGCTTCCTGAGCTCCTCGATAGAATCTTGGGTTTGTTTTCTCGAATATCTAGTGAAAACCTGCCGCCCCTACCTCTGGCTGAGACCACTGTTCGATTTTGCAAACTGCAGTCAGCGATGCATTTTAGCGGCGGGAAGTTGGATCAGAAGGCATTCAACGCTATTGTCACGGGTGAACTGCCGACCCAGACTCTAACAACCTCTCCTCGGTTTACTGTGACACCATCAAGACAGCAAATTGTGAACATGTTGTTCAAAGCATTTCCGTCGTCTGGCACGGAACTTCTCACAACTGCTGACAGAACGTCAATATTGAGCGGTATTGCGAATGTGCTTGGGGCATTAGGGTACCACCGGAAAAAGGCCATGGTGATTCGTGAGCTGGTATCGGTCCTCATTGCCGGTCTTGTGGAGGCTCGTACTCGTGGTGCTGCCGAGGCAGGTATTCACCCTGCGGCAGGTTTGGTCTCCCTGGTTCCAGGTAGTGACAGAACCAGCACAGCGGGAGTTGCATTGGATCTTGGCGAGGGCGACATCGAGCATGGCATCGAGCCGTTCTTGGAGCTATTATGCAGGTCTTATGGTGTCGTTGGCTTCGACATGCGCAAGGAGCGGGACAGAGCTGACGATTCCGACAATACAACTGTTGCAAGGGTTCTTATCCAGTCATCGACACGGTTCTTTGGATTCACTGAAATCAAACTAAACATCCTCAGAGCATGCATCAACTTTTCCGAGGCACTCCCAGATTTCGACGGTGTCCTAAAATTTTCCAGCGATCTTATGCGAACGGCTGGCTCTGGAATCGCTCCCGGTCCTAAGCGCGAAGACGCGGCGCCACACATCCATAAAGAAGAACAGGTCCGCCTTGTAACGAATATAGTGCGAACAGCTGCTCTCACGGAGCGAATTGGCCTGGAAGGTCTTGCGGCCGAGTACTGGGATGAATTCCTCGTTCGAGGCATCGCGTTAGAGCCGCTGCCCAGTGCGCGAACGCCGATCCCTCATGCGAAGAGTGTGCTCCCCGGCGCGAACACCTCGAGAGCTTCGCAAGACGTCAATCCGTTTATTTATAATCCTTTCTTGAAGGAACCAGACGAAGTAGCCGCGGAGAACCTAGTAGCTGGCGAATTGGCCACGTTCAAAGTCACGCTGCAAAATACATACGACGTAGAAGTGGACATTGAAAGCATGCGACTCGACACTGACGGCGTTGACTTTGAACCGGTTCCAGAAAATGTGATTTTAGGGCCCTATCGAACGCAACTCGTACGGCTGAAAGGCCGTCCAAAGGCTTCCGGCTCCATCAAGATTACGGGCGCTGTGATCAAAATACGCGGGTGTCGAGAACGCAGATTCCCCATTTTTGCTAGGCATTGGACGCCATCGCGGGCCGGAAAGATTAAAACCAAGGGTCCGCCTGCACTAGAAAGTAGCAGCGGAGCGGCGCCTGTGAAACCAGAAACGAAGGTTCTGAATCTAAATGTTGTACAGCCTCAGCCTCTAGTGGTTGTCAAGTCGACCAGTCTAGCTCAGTCATCAATCATGATCCTCGAAGGCGAAAAGCAAGTTTTTACTGTAACGTTGCGGAACACATCTACCACTACACCTGTGGACTTTCTGCTCTTTTCATTCAAGGATTCTACGCAGGGTCCGTTGCAGGCAGCGCTAGAGAACCGTGATGCTACGCCGGCTGAGCTTTACGAGTACGAGTTGGTCCTTATGAAGAGACAGGCTTTAAGGCTCCCGCGAAACAATCAAAACCGATATATACCACCGGGTGGAGAGGCGACTTTTGAGTTTGAGATTCTGGGCAAGCCTGGTTTGACACACGCCGCAATTCAAGCGGACTATACATGTCTTGGTGTCCCACGGGACGAGGTGACGGAACAGTTTTACACGCGTCAAGTATTGCTGGATTTGACTGTCACAGTGAATGCCAGTGTTGAGCTTTCTCGTATCGATGCTGTTCCTGTGCAAGGACGGGTTCCACCAGCCTTGTTAAAGAGAGTGGGTGCCGATGAAAGGACGGCTTCCCCAGACAAGTATTTCCTTCTAGCCGTGGATCTGCGCAATGCATGGCCAAGTCAAATGTTGGTCCAGTTGGAAGGCGAAGATGGAATGATGGTCGGGGACAGCATCCTCCCCGGAAAGACAAGCAGGATCGTCATCCCAATAAAGAGAGTATACCTCGAGGATCCTCACGAATCAGTGCCGACTCTCAATCCATCACGCAACAGACAATTTGTCGTTAGCACAAGCAAAATCTCGCCGGACATGGAGCGCGCGAACCGCGAGGCCTTTTGGTACCGGGAAAAGCTGCTTGAAAATCTAAAGGCGACATGGCAGACGACGTCGGTGCCTAAACGAAATGGTGTGGTGGAACTGCGCAATATTCGGCTAACCCCCCGAATGATAGAAGCCATCAAGTGTGACGAGGTGGACATTGCCATATCGATAGACGGAGCGCCGGACAACATCGCGTACGTGGATGAGTTTATGCAGATGAGGGTGCAAATCGCAAACAGGGCAGCCAAGCCCATATTGCCGCTCATCAGGTTGATGCCGGCGCTATGCCACCGGCCACTCAACGTGGCACTCGACTATACCAGGAAGTTTGCATGGAACGGGGCTTTGCAGCAGCAGCTCCCCGAACTCAAGGGGCACCAAGCGACAGAATTCGTGATTGGCGTGACGGCGCTTTGTCGTGGCGAGTTTGAATTGGCGGCATCTGTGGAAGAGGCGCGAGTGCTTGACGACGGGCTGAAGGAAGGCCGAGAGTCGGAGCGCCGGCGATCAGATACCCAAAAGTTGATGGATGCCGCACTGGGAGTCAAGGAAAGGAGGGTGTGGTATGCGCGACAGCCTTGCATTTTGAGAGTGAGGGATAGGAAATGACGTTGAGTCCGGGGTGCGTCTAGAGGCCCCCTTTGTATCTGTATGAGAGAAGTCATCATGGCGATTTCTGTATATCCACGAGCCATATTCACGAAAGCTACTGCAACACGGCGAGACAGACATGCATCAGCGTGTGGTCAATATAGAATTCTTTTTTACGCCCGTCGGCGTTGGTTGTCCATGGCGTGTTATATCGCTGTGTCACAGTTGGAGCCGTGGCGTTCCGTATAGAAGCATGATAACTTTAATGCTGCGTAGATGGTTTGCCTGGGTTTGTATTTGTAGACGTATTTGGCCATATAGATGTAGGGTAGCAGATGAGAGTGTGGGATTCGAAATGCTATGTATGGAATGGGGCGCATCGGTTTGCCTCGAAGAGTGTTTTGCGGTTATTGAGTATAAGTTAGTAAATGTGCTGCTAGTACGAAGGCGCTTCCTGGTATTGCCGCACTCCTTGTATTTCATGTGGTCATGGTGGGATGCGGTTGTGAACAATAAAGACACGGTGCACGGGCCATCCAAACGTTTGTCCACAATGTCATCACTTCACCTTGCCGTGAAATGTTCCTCGTCAGCTCCAACTGCAAACCGCACCACACAGGCATGCATGAGCAACGTCGTAAATGTAGGAGCTCGTGACGACTACAAATACCAACGGCGTGCTCCAAAATCTGCAGCAGCCGAGTCTCTGAGATTATCAAGACATTTCTGACATGGCCAGCGTAGGAAACCCCGAACCCCCGATTAAGTCTTCTTTTCTCACACGCCCAGCACAACATGAGCAGCATCATGGCTAACGCACCGACCGGCGATTGTTACAGCATGGCGTAGCCCGCACATTTCGAGTGCGCACCGAAGAGCAGCGGTTACAGGACCTCGAAAAGATCCGAAAATACCGCGCCCTGGAAGATGAGGTACGAGCCAAGGCGGCGTCTGCAGCCTACACGCCGGAGCTCTTCCAGCTCACCAGCAAGCTCCTCAGCATCAACCCCGAGTACTACACGATATGGAACATCCGCCGTCGCTGCCTGCTCTCCAGCCTGCTTTCCCACCAGCCGCCAGACACCCGCGACTCCGCGCCGGACGACGTCGAGCAGCAAGCGTCGTCGGACGGCAGCGTCCTGCAGTCCGAACTCAGCTTCACCATTCCGCTCCTTATGCAGTCCCCCAAGTGCTACTGGATCTGGAACTTCCGGCAATGGACGCTGTCGCAGGCCATCCTCAGACTGCCCGCGCCCGCCGCACGCCAGATATGGGAGACGGAGCTGGGCCTGACGTCCAAGATGCTGGACAGGGACCAGCGCAACTTTCACGCCTGGAGCTACCGGCGGCTCGTCGTCGGCAGGCTGGAAAGCCCCGAGCTGCAGGGCCGGAGCATGGCCGAGGAGGAGTTCTCGTACACGACGCGCATCATACACCGCGACCTGTCCAACTTTTCCGCCTGGCACAACCGCAGCCAACTGATATCGCGGCTGCTTGAAGAGCGGGGGGCCGGCGCCGAGCAGAGGGCTGCGATGCTCGTCGAGGAGCTGCAACTCGTGAGGGAGGCGCTGAATGTCGGGCCCGAGGACCAGAGTCTGTGGTATTACCACCAGTTTTTGGTGTCGCAAATCGTCAATCGTGGCGGCTTTGGGGGCACCTTTGTGCCGGACTTGACTGCCGACGACAAGGTTGCTTACTTGGGCCGTGAGATTGACGAGATCAAGGAGCTGCTGGAGGACTATGACGACATCAAGTGGATTTACGAGTCGCTTCTGGAGTATACGCTGGCCCTGGGGCGACTGGATCAAGGCCGCGGCAGGGCTGGGGACTTGCGAGGGTGGCTGGCAAAGCTGCGGGTTTTGGATCCCATGCGCGTTGGGCGGTGGAATGATGTCGAGAGGCAGGTTGAGTGAGGAGGTTGTCTTGGTGGTGTTTTGATTGTAATGTATAGCGTATACGGAGTTACTACCTAGGTATGCTTAAAAACACATGGGGGTTTTTGTTGTTGTAGGCATCTCTAGTTTATGTCCATGTTCCTCCAGTCCTGCCAGCAGTCTTGATTAAACAAAGTGATGCTCGACACATGGCTAGTCTCGAGCCGAGAGCACATTGGCAAAGGGCTCAAATGTTCATTCATGGATGCATTCCCCATGACAGCTGTCACCGGGTGCCAAGTGGGGCGGGCGTTTTTTCTCGGGACAAGCCACCAGGGTTCTTCGGGTTGGCGCGGCAAAAGTCCATGGTAGGAATGTGCCGCGAGTGTCACTCCAACATAACTTCGCAAGCAATTCAGCCCGTGCAGCGCAGACTGCCATCGGCTGGACTCTTCAAGTTGCCAGTTGCGAGTGGGAAGGGACATCTCAAGTTTCCCAATGTTCCCCCATTAAAAACGCAAAAAGAAGAGACCTGGAACGCTGAGCAACAGCAACAGCAACTTTTTGTTTTGGTTTCCGGCATCGGCTGCCACCATTGCCATTGCCATTGCCATTGGCAGCTGCAACCCGCAGCAAAACGACGCTGCTGTCGCATCAGACATCACAAAAGGTGCGATGGGCGTCATCTCGAGCACGCCGACAGCGGAGGAACTACCGGCGCATGGTGTCGATACCAGCGGCGCCGGGCGTCGCATCTTGTTCTTGGACGCCTATGACTCCTTCACCAACAACATCGTCTCCCTTGTCAAGGATGCGCTCGGCAGCAACGTCAGCGTCCATGTCTTGCACATGGACCTCAGGACCATCGACTCCGACTCCACGCCCAATTGGACCAGGCAGCAGTTTCTGGACCGACTCTCCGACTTTGACGCCATCGTCTGCGGACCCGGGCCGGGATCGCCTCTCCATGACGCCGACGTAGGCGCCTTCAAGCTTCTCTGGGACCTTCCGAGGGAGCAATCCGTGCCTGTTCTTGGCATATGCCTGGGTTTTCAAAGCCTGGTGGAGCATTTCGGTGGTAACATTCGACGGCTTCGGAGGGGTTTGCACGGCATGGTTCGGGAGATTGACCATGTCCAGGTGCCGCCTACCGACATCTTTGACAAGGTGCCTCGGTTCAAGGCGACCTTGTATCACAGCCTGTGCGCGGATATTGGACAGGACGACGTTCCGGAACGGGATTGGCCGACGGCGCGATGGCTGCCGTCCAAACAGGCTCCGGAGCTGCAGCCCCTGGCGTGGATTCTAGAAGACTATGACGGCGAAAACAGGCACGACCCAGAGCGTATTCTAATGGCTGTTCGGCACACCACAAGGCCGTTATGGGGCGTTCAGTATCATCCCGAGTCTGTGTGTACTGACGCCGCTGCGAAGGGTGTGATACGCAACTGGTTTCGCCAGGCCCTGAAGTGGAATGAAGCGGCGAGACGAGAGGTCCGGAGGAAGCCCAGCGTCGGCCACGTTGACAGCTTGAACCCATCCAACCATAGTCCGCCTGGGTTGGATTCTGGACGCAAGCTGTCCGCTTGCCCGTGGTGGAACGATTTGCAGTCTGATCTGGCCCGACGAGGTATTCGGCCGGGATATGCTTGTCGGCAAATAAAACTACCTGGAGGTGTGGATACGGCGGACATTGCAGAGGTGCTTGGTCTTGGCTACAAAGATACTATTATTCTAGACTCGTCGAGCACTATCAATGGTGACCCTCTGGCCAGGAGTTCCGTTATTGCTCTGGGTGTCGATGAAGCCCTGCGTCTGGAATATCACGTAGGCGACAGCCACCTGGTTCTCCGGCAGCCCGCGGCGTCTGGACGACCAGAAAAATCACGGCGGATCTACCTTGGAGAGGATGTCGATCCCTGGAGCCCCTGGCATGTCATGTCGGAGTATTGGCGCTGGAGAAAGGTGTCTGAAGATGACCATACGCCGACATTCAAAGGCGGTTTCATGGGTTTTGTTACGTATGAAATGGGTCTGAGTACCTTGAGTCCCGGGTCCGTTTCCAAGGCGCGCGGGCACCATCGACCTGACCTTTGCATGGCTTGGGTCTCAAAAAGCGTCGTGCTTGATCACCAAGCGGGCGTTGCTTATGTGCAAGCCCTCACTTCAGAAGACTGCGACGGCTTGTGGATAGACGATGTTGTTCAAGCCATCGAGACTTCCCATGCGTGGCAGCACCCTGGCTATGAGCGAGGCCCTGATGCCAAGTCTCGCCGCTCCAACGAAGCTCTGCTCGACCATGTACGCAAGGGAGGGGGCCGTTTACATGTTTCTGTCCCGGACTCAGATGGGTACGAGTCCGATGTCAGCAAATGCCAGGACTACATCAGAGACGGTGAATCCTACGAGCTCTGTCTCACTGCGCAGACAACCATGACCAGACCACGCGGCAACGATCAGCCGCACCACACGCGAACATCGCCTGCACCAAGGGAGCAGTCATCATCCCGTAAGCTGCCGCCAGTCGACGAGGCGTGTCAGCATGGAACGCCGTGGCAAATTTACCGTGCCCTGAGAGCGCGACAACCGGCACCATTCGGCTCTTTTACTCGCCTCGGCGGGGCGACCATCATCAGCAGCTCTCCAGAGCGATTCCTAATGCACGACCCCAAGGGCCTCTGTTCCATGCGGCCGATGAAGGGGACGGTCCGCAAGTCGTCTGCAGTATCGACATTGGCACAAGCCGAAGAGATTCTCCACGTACCCAAGGAGGAGGCAGAGAATCTCATGATTGTCGATCTCGTACGGCACGATTTGTACGGCGTGTGCGGTGCACAAAGCGTAACCGTGCCCGACTTGCTGCGGGTGGAGGAGTACGCCAGCGTCTTCCAAATGGTGACGGCCGTGAACGGCCAGCTCCCCGCGGAGAAGCTCGAGGCGGGAACGGACCCAACCCGAGGCGAGTTCCCCTTTACCGGCATGGACGTCTTGGCGAGCTGCTTGCCGCCGGGCAGCATGACGGGCGCCCCCAAGAAGCGCAGCTGCGAAATCCTGCAGACTATCGAGCCCACCGAGCGCAGCGTCTACTCTGGCGTCATTGGGTATCTGGATGTGCAAGGGAAAGGCGACTGGAGTGTCACGATCCGCACCATGTTTCGCTGGGACGACGAACAGGCCCCCGCCCAGGATGGTGAGCTTGAACCTCGCGAGGTCTGGCGGATCGGTGCTGGCGGTGCAGTGACAACGCTCAGCACGCCCGAGGGCGAACGAGAAGAGATGTTTACAAAGCTGTGCGGGCCGCTGGGCACATTTTCAGACGTTGCATAGATTGGACGCGAGGAAAAA